AACGAAAGTAAAGACACACACACACTATATATATATATATATATATATATTACCTACACGGATTAAACATTTATCTTCAAAGGAAGAAAAGCACAGAAATAAGAATTAAGAAGGCGTAAACGATGTACACTCGTGAGTCCGTCAGCACCGACCGCTACAACGGTGACGAGTCGGGATCTGGGCGCGAGGACCCGCAGAACACCACCACCGTCAGCTCCGACTGGAGCGTCAGGCCGTCCGACGACACGGTGGTCGATGCCGCGCAGACGAGCAGCCTCTCGCGGTTGAACCCTGCGGCAACGCCTTTCAGCTTCACTGGAGGCGCCGGAGCTGTCGCGGCGGCTGGTGGTGCTGGTGGCGGCCCCGGCAGCAACGATTTGGTGAGTGGTGGGAGTGGTGGGAGTGGTGGTCTTCACCTCCATCACCTCCACCACCACCGTCAAGGGGTGCTGTCGAACAACAGTCTGGACGGTGCCATGTCCCCGACTGGCCTGCCCACCGTCGGTCGTGGCCACCTCGGCGCGGGAGGGGTGAACGCAAACAACGGAAGCAACAGCATCAGCGGCAACAACGGCATGGCCATGGACGGCGGCAACAGCCCGAGCTCCTTCGGTGTGATGCAGGGTATGATGTCGGGGCAGTATAGAATGGTCGGTGGTGGAGGTGGTGGTGGTGGACACCGTCAGAGTTCGCTGACCGGCGGCCGGTCGGTGGGTGGGATGATGGATTTTGGCATGACGCACGGCGGCGGTGGTGGTGGTATGATGAGCGGCGGCCTTGGCGGCGCGAACCCGAGCAGCGGCCTCGGTGGTGGTGGTGGCCGCAGTATGGGCAGCGTCGGCGGCGGGCTACCCAGTCCGAACAGCTTCCTCCCCCCGCCAGGCGAGGAGAGCGATCAGCAGGAACTGCTGCGTCTGCAGCAGACGAACTATCGGGTCAAGATGCTCCCGCCGCCGCTGACGTACGAGGTGCATCGCAAGATTTGGTCCAGGAACGAGTACGGCGACGACAACGACGATGACCTGCACGGCGCGGCGGTGGAGCAGCAGCAGCAGGAGGAGGAAGAGAGCCTGCACAACCTCGTGAACGAGGACCCGGTGGACAAGGAGCAGCGCTTAGAGGCCTACAAGCAAATCATGCTCCGCTGGTACGGCCACATCCACGTCCTCGAGAGCAAATCAGAAGTGGCGAAGCGCCTTGTGCGTGTTCGCCGAGCCTGCCCCTCGATGGAGGAAGTGATGGCCAACCTGTCGAACCAGTCGCAGCAGCAGCAGCAGTGCGGTGCAGCGATGAACACGCCGGAGTCCGAAGGCGGGGATGACGACGCCTCTTCCTTTCAGCGGCAGCAGCAACCCGCGGCGGTAGCGGCCGCTACCGCCGCCTTCACTCGCCGAAGTCCGTCCACGCCGCTCGACGCGGAGGAAGTGCTGTCCGCGTGGTCCGCGCAGTGCTGGGACTGGTGGCAGGAGACGGTGAAGCGCAAGCCGCGGCGGGCGCGGAAGCAAGGCGAGGTGGCGCTCGGCACCTCCGCGCCCGGCCTGCCGACCTCCGCCTCGGCACCGATGGTGGCTGCGATGGGCGACGGCCCACTCCCGCACAGCCTCTCCGCGCGTGCCATGGAAGCGGAGGAGACCTCGCCGCAGGTGCCGAGCAACGGCAATGGCAGCCCCTACACCCACCACAGCCCGTACACGAGTCATCCGAACGGGCCTCCGATGGAGGCGGCAGGGAATGGGACGGGGATGCCGATGGCGCCGTCGTACACCTCCTTTACCGACCTCTCCGAGGAGGGCGGCGTCGACGCGGCGGATCGCTCGTCCGGCCAGAGCCCGCAGCAGCACAGCCGCGCACTCTCGCACTCCTTTCCGCAGGTGCCGGGTCAGCAGCCGCAGCAGCAACAGCAGCTACCGCAACAACGTACGACTCCACCCCAGCAGCAGCAGCAGCAGACTCCTTCGCACGCCGCGACATCACCGACGTCGACCTTCACGACCAACGGCATCCGTGCCGCTGCCCCGCGCACGGGAAATCCGGATGACTTCCTGGAAAACGATCACCTCACCCTGGCCTTCACGACAGAGCTGCTCAAGTCACTGGAGGAGTAGCCGTTCTTCCTGATCGCGCCGGCGGACAGAAGCATTTCGGCAGCCCCTCTGTTTTTTTCCCTTTGCCGTAGTGTGAGCGAGGGGGTATCGTACTTGAACGAAAGAGGGAAGAGAAAGCGAAAGCTGTCTGATGATTCCTAACGGGCGCGGTTGTGCTGTGTGTGTGTGTGTGTGTGTGATGCGTGTGCGGTAGATGTTCTCCATCAACTCTGTTTTCGTTGGTAGCGGTGGTGTTAACGCCTTTTCATTTGCTTATATATATTTTTTTATTCTTTTTAGCCTTACTTCAGAAACTCCACTCAGAGAAAAAAAGAGATATTCTGCATGTTTTTGCGGGCGACGCCCACCTTTGGTGGTGGCTGTGGTGGTTGGTGGTTGGTGGTTGGTTGTTCATTCGTTGTTTCCGCCTCCCTAAGCGTTGTAACTGCTTGATGTGACCCCGTGGGTGTGTGTGTGTGGATGGGTGGGTGCACGTGTACTTTGAAAACGAAAGCAATTAAACGGTGGCGGTGTTGGGTGTTCCTTTCGTACCTAAATAACACTATTATTAGTACTGTAATACTTTTAAGTGTGGTCGAGGAGACTCGTGTCGTCGGTCATCACGGCTGCTGCGGTAATGCCGCTTTACACCTGCGCGACAGTGGATCATCCAGGGTGCCTTTGAGGTGAAGTGATGGTTTGTTCGTTTGGTTGGGATTCGCGCACATATATATATATATATATCTTCTCTTTTTCCCATTTTTGTCTCTAGCATAAAAGAAGTAGCTCACTGTTTTTCTGGAGGGGAACTCTTTGAGGAGCTTTGAAGGCTCGTCCGTCTTCGGATTCTTTTTTTGTTTCTGAGAAGCTCACCGAGGCTTCCGTACGCGTGCGTGTGCGTGTGCGTGTTCGGGTTGACGACGCAAAGAGAGCAAAAATATGTTCTTTGGGACGCACGACACAGTGCTGCCCACCTATGGGTGCTTCTCTTCTCTCCCTCTCTGCGTGTGTGTGTCGTTGTTGGTGCTGTTGAAGAATGTGTCGTCGCATCGGTGAGCAACGTAAGCGTTGACTAAATACCGTCGTTTCTGCCATCTTCTGTCTTCGTATGTTTTTCTTCCTCTTAAAGCTAAAAAGAAAAAAAAACATTTTAAAAAACAGGCAATAATCGCAGAACCCAGTTTCCTTGGGCGCCGTTCTCGTCTCGGCTTTCGCAGAGGAGCGTGCTCGACGGCGTGAGCAGAAATGGGAAAGGTGACGGGAAACACACAAGCGAATTGCATCGTCGTCGTTGCAGCTGGGTCCTCCAATGCAAGAAAAAGAACCTTCGCTCTGCGTTCACTCTCCCACACGCGCATACGCACTTTTTGCTGTCATTCCTTGTAAATGGGAGGGCGATAGTCGATGAGCTGCTTCGCTTGGTTGCACTCCGAAATAGAAACAAACGAACATGAGAGCCGCAGAGGTGCCTTCATCGCTTTCTGAATGCAGACATGTGCGTATGAACTTTCGCGGTACAGAGCGAAAACAAAAATGTTATTCTCTTGCTCCTTCTTCCTCTGTCTTTCTTCTCCTTTCCGTGTGTGTTCGCAACGCACCCACATATTTGTTGCTGTGCATCTGCCATAAACTGAAGCATTCACCTATTCATTTGCACCCTCACAGCACGTTAAAATCTTTCTCTTGAAAAAAAAATTTTAAGTGCAAACTGTGGTGGCGCATTCGTACCGCTCACCCCGATCGCCTTCTTCTCTTCTCCCTCTTGCAATTACGTTGTGTTCATTGCCGAAGAAGCAAAAAAAAAGTAATTTTGTAAGTAACAGAGCTCGTTAAATGGGGGCTTAAATCGTTGCACCACCTTCGCGTCATTTCGCTCGTTGCGGTCGGTTTTTGCTACTCTATTATTACACTCCTTTATCCATTTGTTTGTGCATCGCACTACCAACCACAAAAGAAGGAAAAGAAAAAACGGTAAACCTAAAAGAACCCCCCCCTCCCTCTCTCTCTCTCTCTAAACGCACACGGCAGACAAAAACTTGCGTGCCCCTTCCTTCTGTTGTTTGTTTTCTTTTCTGCACCCCGTGCTCCGTGACTTCTTTTGATAAAGGATCCCTTTTTCGTTTGTTTTACGCCTGTTTCAACCGTCTGCACCGGCTGGAGCGCCATCGCTTTCGTATTTTACGTTCTTTTCGTTTTGTTTTCTCTCTCTCTCTCCTCATCCTTCCTCTCGTTACCTCTTTCATTGCTTCTCCACGCTTATTCCCTTGACATCCCCTCACAATTTGTTTCGCTGGCCACCAATACTATTCTTTTCATTATTATTATTATTTGAGTTCTCATTTCAGCCGTTGGGTGTCAGCGTGCGCCTTGTTTATCTTTTTTTTTCCCACTGGCGTACTGATTTGACTGATTTGCTTCTATTACTGCACATAGCACATACGTTGTGTTCGGTGTATCCGGTTGTGCCGTTTCTTACCTTCTCTATATATATATATTCTCTTTTTGTTACTCAAGGTGATCTGTGAGACTGCCAGGCCCGTGTTCGTTGCTCTTGCGGAACGCCTCTGCGCGTGTGTGAGAGGGAGCTTAGATTTCCGTCGTGTAGCAATACACCCCAGCCCTGTCTCTCTGTGGCTTCGTGTTGCTTTCTTTTCCTCTCGTTCCTCTTCTGTTTTGCTTTGTGTGCGTATCTCTTCACACCCATTTATTACTTCTCGCATTTTGTTTTCTTCGTCAGGTGCCAACGACAGCCTCGACCTCCGGGTGTTTTACACCGTTCATTTCACTCGTTGCAACCGTATTCCCATCCCTTATCCCCATCCCCACCTCTTTGTCATTGATTGTTTTAGTTTCTCCTCGCTGCTGGCTCTCAAGTTTCTTTCTGTGGCTTGACGACAACACGCCCTTCGCTTTCTTCTTCTCTTTCAATTGTTATTTGTTCCGCTCTTTTACTCCCCCTTCCCCTCGCCGAGGCGTGCGCGTCGTTCTCCTCCTTCCTCAAAAGCGGTAGTCTCTTTGCTATTTTTGTCCTCATTGTGAGTTTCTCATTGGTGTTATTGTCTTGGCTCATCTAAGCAGATCTATTTCCATTCCTCAACCTATTGCTCTTTTCGCCGTTGTTTCTTTTTTAACAGGAAAGTAAAACCCAACCAGGGCCAGTCACTTCGCCCCTGCGTACCCGTGTGCGGTTCGGTGCCGTGTTTTCCCCCCTCCCTCCCCTCCCCACCCATCCCTTTTCGGCCGGTCGCCTTCATAAATTTGTGTATGTGTCTCTGCGTTTCTCAACGCTTTCAATCGCCCTCAACAACACCGATTTCTTCATCACCTCGTGCTGATAGCGCTGCGCTCTTAATTATTATTATTTGTTTTGCTGCTCCCCCGCTATTTGCTACTTCAGCGCCTCTCCGTCGTCGTCGTTGTGCGTTTGTGAGCCCGCATTCGTTTCCCACGCGAGACACGGAGCCAACCTAGACGACTCGAAAGAGACGGCATCTCCTCTGTTCTTTCTTTAGGGCGTTGTTTTTCTTCCGTTACCTCTTCCTCGCCCTTTCCAGCCGTGCCCGCAGCGACAGATGCACTCCGACGAGTACGCGTCTTACAGGCTGCCCTCTGGCGTCGCCTTCACGGTGCTGCCGCACTCCTCTTCATCTTCGCAGCAGCAGCAACAGCAGCAGCGCGTTATGAACAACAACTCTGTGCTCATCGACCCCCCAACGAGCTTCTTCGTTCAGGCCCAACAGCCGTCGCAGCACCATCACCAGCAGCAGCTGCTGCAGCAACAAGGTCTGCCGTCCGTCTTTCTTCAAACGCCGGCCGCCACCGCCACCCCGCCTTCCATCACACCGCCATCTCCGCAGCAGCAGCAGCAGCGCGGGAACAGTATCTCCCTCAACTCCGCGCAGTACTCCCCGCTGGCACGCCAGAGTCAACCGCCGGTGGTGCTGTCCTCGACGCCCCCGGGCAGCACCCCCGGCCAGCTCTTCTCCATACACCCTCTCTCCCCTCTGTCGACGTCCTCTGGTGGGTCGCAGCCGAACCGCACTCATGTCCACGTAGCCCCCACGCCGACCTTCGCACCGACGAGCGTCACGCAGCACCCACAACAGCCCGCTACGGAGGCCGCGGGAGGCGGCAGGGATGCTGGGAACAGCTTTTCCGCCGCCACGACGATGTCAGCAGCCAGCACGACGGCGGCGGTGCACAACGGTGTCGTGGACGCAGCGGAGATGCGTCTGGCGAACGAGCGCCCCTTCCGCTTTAAGATGCTGCCACCACCGCCGACCTTCGACAGATTTTTGCTGCAGTGGGAGGCGAACGCGGAGGATGCGCATTACCGGCCGTGGCGTCGCGGTGATGACGGCGGAATCCCACACAGTGGGGTGCTGACGACGGAGGACGCACTGCAGCGCTCTGCGGCAGCAGCCACGGCGACCGTCGTCACCAGCGCCGGCGGCAGCGGCACCAACGCAAGTGGTCCCGCGCCGCGCTCGGCGGAGGAGCGACTGGCGCTGGCTGAGCAGTACCGGCGTATTCTCGAGCGCTGGTGGAACTACATGGCCGTCTTCGAGCAAAAACCCGAGGTCCGTCAACGCCTGGGCAGCCTGTACACCTGTCCGGACTGCGCCGATGCGCAGCGCGCCGTCGCGGCTGGCTTTGCCGAGCTCCTGCCTGGCGAGTTGCGTGAGCAGCTGACGCCCGACGAGGTGACGTTGCAGACATGGTCGCACTTGGTGCTGAAGTGGTGGAAGGAAACGAAGCGGCGCCGCCGCACGCGTCGCAGCCGTCGCTGCTCCCGCAAAGACGCCTCCTCCTCGAGCGTGACCGGGCGGAGTGCGTTGGAGGACTCGCAGGTGCTGGACAGCGACACCACCCCCCCGCACATGGAGAACGGCGAGGAGGTGTCCGTCACGAGCGGCAACTCCTTTGTGATGTCGAGCATGATGGGCAACCGCCTCACGCACTCCCCTCCCGATAATGAGGGCTACTTGAATTTTGACTTTACGAACCAGACCACCTTTGGGAGTCCCGCCGAGAGCGGCTAGTAACTTTTTCTCTTTCTGCGACGGGAAAGGAGAAGAGGCAACGAACCTCAGTCCAACGTGTGAATCCGCAGCGGTCCTGACGGTATTCCTTGTCGCTGTCGGTGTGTTGTAGCAGACGGCACTAAAGCAAACCAGGGAAGTGCTGCGGCGCTTTCAAGGTAATTTACTCTGTTGCTGGGCTGTCGAATCTTTTGTTTGTTTCTCGCTCTTGAGAGGATACACAGCAGCGACGACAGACGTTCGTGTTTTAACTTATGCTCCGGTCCAACATTGAAGCTCTTCCAAGAAACACTCTGACAAAGAAAAATTGAAAATAAAAAACCCACACCTCCCCCAACCCCCCGGCACTGCATCCGCGTCATCGAGATCGCATCGGTTTCCAACACCACTACTGGTCTGCCGGCTGATTTGACCTGCATCCCCGCCTTCTTTGAGCCATTCTCTGCCTCGTGTCCTCTTTCCTTTCTCTTTCCTTTCTCTCTCCTCCTTTCGCGCCGGCCTTTTCTCCCCGTCGCGCCCCTCTTTCGACCCAGGGCCCCGCAGCAGCCCAAAGCAACCTGCGGAACGCGGACGTACGAAGGACAGAAAGAACCGCCCGCAAAACCACAAAAGCGGCGGAAGACAAGACAAATGACGCCCCCACACGCTCTCCAGAGAGCCACGGGAAAAGAAGCAATCACAGAGCCCAAAACTTGAGGAGGGGTTCATGTCACGGCACCGCGCGTGCCTTGTCACTATCAAAGAGAAAGCCAAAGGAGGAGGGAGAAGAAGAATGTAAGCTGGCAAGCACTCGTGGTTCGCATGCTGGACGCCGTGTACACTCGCGGGCCCACATTGGCTCCGCAATACTGTCGCCCATTTTATTCGCTGGTGTTGCTTCGTTACAATTCACTGTGGCTTTAAGAAGCCGACCGCCTTCCCCCGGAGGACGCGGCCGAGCTTCGGGTCAAACCAGACTCAATGGAAAACACACGGGTTTACCACAGGAAAGACACCGGAGGCGCAGGGCTCGTTCAACGAGTCACTATCGCGGGCATGTCAGCGCGCGACCGAAGGCGACAACCGGGCCGGCAGCGAAGAGCTCAGCCGGAATGGGTACAGCGGGTCGAGGTACCCAAACAAGGAAAAACACACACCGTCCCGGCATACAAGCGCGGGAGAGACAAGCATACCCTCCCTTCCATCGGAGAGGTGTCGGGTGTGCCAGCAACCAGCCTTCGTGAGGGGCGCTGGAGGGGCTTAAAGAGAAGAAAAGCGAAGAGATGTGATGCCCGGAGAAATAGAAAAACGAAAACAGAAAGGAAAATCCAAAGCGGCGCATGCACGGTCGCGGCCTGAACGATATGTTCCAAGCGAAAAGCGGGGTGCAGCCAAGGAAATGGGGCACCCGCAGTTCCGCATGCCGGCGGCAAAAAACATTCTGGAAAACAAAGAAAATTAACCGCAGCATATAAATAAGAAAAATTAGGCTGAAAACAGTAACAAGTGTGAGAGAGGATCCACACCGGAGACTGCAGAAAGTACAGCGAAAAGAAAGCGGAAAAGCAACATTACGTTAGCTCCCAACAAGAAAAACAGGAGACGAATCTTTGAAGAAAGCTATCGTTTTGATATACGGCAACGAAGTACAAAGAAAGCGTCGCAGGTCGCGGCGGCCATCTCGGTTGAGGCGCATGGAAACTGAAGAAAGCAGCCATCACGGACGAAGACTTCCAACATCCGTTGTACGGCGTCAGTTGCGCCACTGAACTTTCAAAGAATTAGGCCACGCATGCGACCAGAGATCCGTTGGTGTGTGGACTATCTTTTTGACCTCCTTGGAGCAGACGGCTTCACTCAAAGCCAAAGCACAAAACCAGCACCAGTTTCTGACGCAAGGAATCACCAATCCCAAAACAGGTACATTAAAAGCGCTCCAGCACTTTCCGAGAACGACATGAACAAACTGCAGAAGACGAAAATCATCCGGCAAGTTCACAACACGAACTCCAACGCAGCAGCGTGTCGAGGCAAGAGGCAGCGTACTGCCGACAGTGTGACGCCGTTTACAGTCACGGGGACCAAGCACGACACCGTCCGAAGACGCTTTATCGCATGACAGGAGCAGAGCAATGGCTACTGATAAGCAAAGGGCTACCGCCCAGACGAGCCACTCCTACACGTTTCGATACATCTCGACGCAGTGAACGCCGACATGGGCAGCGTACACGACCTGATGGCCAGTTTCTTTCAGGTCGAGCTCCCAGATAGAATGCAACAACGCTTCGTCTTCGCAGATCCGAATAGCGGTACACAGCGGTACTTGACGCGGCCTCCGCTGGGAGACTCGGTCCCACCGGAAATCATGCAAATCCTCACATCCACCGTGGCAGGTCATCCGAAGTACGCAGGCAACGAGTTCACCATGAACGGCCCAGCCCTGACCTCAATCGACGTTCGGATCGACAACATACGGTACGCGGGCACGCATCAAGCACTCCAAACGGCGTCCAGGATGATGTTGACCGCCGCAAAAGAGTGTCGAGTCTCTCTCAGTACGAATGAGACGTACACGGGAGAAGTCACCGACTTCATAGGGGATCTATTTCAACAACGCAGCTCACAAAGTGGGCGTGACAGATCACACGATCCAGAAGATTGCTGGTCCGATGCCAAACATGACGTGCAGCGACTTAGAGCGACTGTACGCACGGCTCCTCCGCAGCTCGTCAATCTCACAGATCCGCATCGCAGAGTTCTACTGGGCGTTGAAGCCCATTAGACGAAGGCTGTCTCAGCTCAGCCGGACACCTCTCCTGGTGAAGGAGCCGGCCTGCACACGCCCAACGGCGCATGCACAACTCAAATAACGGTAGGACTTGGCACAGAAGAACCGCCCACGAGCGATAGCGCCAACCGTGGCAACAAGAATGCTGACGCCTCTGGAGCCGGTCGAGGAGCGGTCTTGATCTGGGCCGAGTCCCAAGAAATTGTGAGAGGTGCTGCAGCATGGTCCGCAGCAGAGCGGCGCCACATAAACACGCTGGAAGTGAACACCGCGGTTCTGGCGGTGGATCACTTGCGGCAATGGATTCCCGCGGAGTCAAACCTTCGTATTAAGATCGACAACACGACGGCCTTAGCCACTCTCAAGAAAAGAGCCAGGCCGACACAGGCACTCAAGGGCATTGCACTTCGCGTAGAAAAGCTCTCGCAAACACTCAGTTGTCCTTTCTCAGCGGGAGAAGCACAGCGACGTGAAGAAAAGTACTGCAACGCTTGCGGCCAGTACGAGCACTGGAGGTCTGAGTGCCGCAGCCTTCAAAAATCCGGCGTTTACAGGCCGTCAACGAGCACGGAAAAGTGAATGAAGTACCTGAAAAGCTTCTCGCGGGTTCAGATGGAAGACTGATGTCGACAGAATATCGCCGAGGAGCATAGACCACTTGTCTGCAAACGCAATCACACAAATGAAGGTCGGCAACAACGCAAAGTCAACCGACGCAGCGACAGCACGAGCACTATTGAGGCTTTTGCAAATCGAAGACAGCACCGTGAAGATGATGTTGAAAACTCACTCCATCAACCGAATTCCACAGAAGCAAGCGGTACCAGCAACACGGAGGGAGATAGAGCTTGTCATGGCAGCGCTGAAAGACAGGCAGCGCGATCACGCAGTGGTCTTCCAGGCGTGCAAAACGACAGGCCGTTGGGGAAATATTCAATGATTGACGGCGGAGAATTTATTGCTGGTGAACCTGCAGCAAATTGTCACACGCTTCACAGCTGGAAAGACGCTATCACCAGACCCTTACACGGCATACGCTCTAGTTGGGGTCGAGGACGAGAACGACACAGCCGAATCGCTCAAATTCTCAGCAGCTGGAAGGCAGACAACCCAGCATCAACTCGGTTCATAAGAACAATGAATAAACGTCAGATCATTCGCGAGCTGAAACAAGCAGACCCAACACTGAAAGAGCACTCGACCAAACGAGGCGCTTTGAGCTTCCCCTAGGATGCACCGTGCAGAATCAGTTCATACCAAAAACAACCCCCCCTGTTAGCCCAACATGGCAACGACAAAGCCACGATGCAGGATTAAACGATTCAAAGACAGTATTGGAGACGACGGTTTTCTGGGGATAGGAATGTCAGAGTTTTGCCGACGAGAGGACGTGGAAGCGATCTTGTCAATTGGAGATCTGACCAAAACGCATCCTGGCACTCCAAAACATGCTTGCCGACACGTCGGGGGCGAGCCAGGAGAAGATTTACACAGCGCTCATATCAGAGCAGAAGCCGTATATGAAGAAGGTCGAAAAGCTTAGCGACGATAAGAGAACGTTCTTTCCAAAGGAAAACTTGCCTGATATATCTTCACACATCTTTCGCAGGAGAAATGGCCCATAAAACGGTAGCGTTTGTCGTCTTTTCGAGGGTAAAGCAAGCCACGACCGACTCTAAAGGATGCCTGTAATACAACAGACTGAAGAGAAAATGTCTATGAAGCAGAGTTTTGAGGTTGAATAACTTCGAAACGCCTTTTCGGGCTGGCGTCGCAAGTAAACCTTGATGATGATCGGCTCTTCGGTATTGAGGCAGTGATTCCATGTTTTTTTACGTCATAAGGATCGAACTACGTGAGTCTCAACAGACGAAACCGATGTTTGAGTTCCTTGGGGTTCGGGATCTCTTTTGATCTCGACAGAATCGTTGCCGCCAATAAAGCAAAGTGCTTCCCGACGCGGGGAGAAGACAGTCGCATGCTTGAAACCATTTTTATCGGATTGCGCCCGGTTCTACATGCATTACCTTCTGGGAGCAACTCAGCAGGCGTAGTGGCTTTCAATGCGGCACGAGGCGTGGTTGTGAGTTATTATTTCCTGTGAGAAACAGTTGATGGTGAATGTGAACCTGTGGCTTGATCTATGGTTTGAATGAATGTGAGTGAGATCTTTTTAGTGTAAAAACCTGCGTGGTGAATCCGACAGCATCTCGTGTTCCAAATTGCCTTTCAATCGTACATCTGGTATATTTTCTTTTTAAAGAACTGTTTTCCGTGATTATCATCTTTAACGTAACAGCAACTGTTGAACTGTAAAAGCCTTGATACAGACAGACACGGGCCCTTTCGCCTTGTTGTAAAGCAGTCAGCGGTTCGAGACGCCGACAATGGAGCCACCACCTTTTTGTTCTCCAAACTTTTTCTTCTACTCTTCTCTCTTTTTCTCTCTTTAGTACAGGCTTTAGCGTCTCCGTTTTCCTTTTCTACTTCATCTATTTTCGCAACTGCCCAACAGTCGTAGTTTTGTTTCTGTTTGGCCCTCCCACCGTCCCCAGAGGCTCTAGTGAAAACACGGTAGGAAACTTTTCTCTTTTGTTTTCGGTTAACCTGTTTAGCTTGTATTCGTTGTTTCCCGTCATCGGCTCGAATCAAAAAGAAACGAAACCTTCTCCTTAGAAAAGCCATTCTGGGGCAACAGCTCTCCATGAAATCCATGTACGGGTCAGAATAGGGAATGGTCCCGGTGACTAGTTTATTTTCTCAACACCAAAAGGCTTACTTCAAAAGTTTTCCGGTTCTTCAATCCTTTTCTTTATTCTGGCTCGCTGCGAAAATGGGGGTTCAAAGCTGAAGTCGAGGTATCTTTGTCCGTTTCCATGTTTTCTGTCCACGCGGATATGATTTGGGTGCGTCCGGCACGATCGGAGCACCGTTCTAAGTCTATCTTTCCTTCTTCGTTTCTCTCTCCTGTACTGTGCTTTGTTCTTTTCCCGACGCATGAGTGCTTCTAAACCCACGTCGCCGTAGACTTGCTTCCTGTTTCTTCTCCGTGTCTTCTTGTTTCTTGTTTGTTCTTTCCGCCTGGTGAGCCGTGTGCCGTGTTTCTTCTTTGTTTGCTGTGCTTTTGCCCGCATGTCCGTTTGGCATGCATCCACCCAGTGTGTTTCCTCCCGCGGACGCCGCGCGGCCGGTGCATGCTCGCCCGTTGTGCGGGGCGGGGTGGCCTCCGTGCCGGTGTCCAAGCCATAAGAAAAGCACCCAACAAACTACGTGTAAATGGGGTGCCCCACACGCGACTGATCGCGGTGCGGGGCCCGCCGGAACGCATGTTACGCGGGCGGCGATTGTAGTCGCGCGAATGTCTGCTCCTTCGGCCGCCAAGTCCCTGCGGCCGCCACGTGTCGCTCCCACTGCACGATGCTGACTCACTCTCTCCGCTCCTGCCTCACTCCTCTCTTCTTACTCACTGCGTAGAGCGACCCATACAACAGGACGGTGGCGTTGCATTATCTGTTGAAACGCCTCCAAGGGCTTTCAGTTCTCGGTAGTATAGTGGTTAGTATACCCGCCTGTCACGCGGGTGACCCGGGTTCAATTCCCGGCCGGGAAGCTTTTTCGACCATCGCGCGCGCCGGGAAACGAAAAGGAAAATTTCCGGTGCCGGGGATCGAACCCGGGTCTAGCGGGTGAGAGCCGCTTGTTCTATCCACTATACCACACCGGAGACGTCCTCTTAAACGAAGTGACTTCCAGAGAGAGAGAGAGAAAGAGAAAAGGAAGAAGAGTGGAGAGGGTGTCGTGTGCCACGAAGGTGTCAGTGCATAGACACATCAGTGACGACGTGGAAAGCGGGGGACTGCCGACGCTGCTGATGTACAGCGGAGTGAAGGCTGTGGAGTTGATCCATGTGCATCCCTCGCCTGCCTTTTGTGCTCCTTTTCTTTTCGTTGTTGTTGTTTATGTGCCGGCACGCGAAGTGCATCGAAGTGGCGTAGCGTCACGGAGAAGCAATAAAGGAGCTAAGTTCAAAAGAAAAGTTAAAAGTTCTTTTGGTTGGTTTTTGTTTTCTGCAAAAGATATCCCGAGCTGAGCGGCGGTGGGCGCCGCCGAGTCGTCAGATGCCGTCACGTTCACGTTCTCTGCGTTGCTGCTGTCTTTTGTTTACCCCATGAGACATGCCCAACGAAGAAAATCACCCTACGAGCTCTCCTGGGGCTTCTTGTCAGACTTGTTGCTGGCCTCGCGCACGGCGCTGAGGAGGACCTTGTAGAAGTAGTAGAATCCAACGGCGGTGATGATGTGGCCAGCCCCGGCCGTCCACGAAATAAAGCGACTCTTTGGATCCTTGTCGGTCACGGTAAGCGTGCCGTGCACCAGGATCATCGTCAGGGTGATGCCGATGCCGATGTTGTACGTAATGTAGAACTTCTTGTAGTCCTTGTGCTTGGACAGACAGAAGTTCTTCTCGAGCAAGAGGACGAAAAGCAGGAAGAAGGTGCCGAGGGAGAAGCAGTGGGTGTGCATGACACGCAGCTGCGACGTTCCGTTGCTCACGTAGCCGAGGTGGCGCGTCAGCTCACGCCAGTACACGCCGGAGGCCAGTCCAAAAATCGTGTAGCCCATACTCGCACGCGCGAGCTTCTCCATGGGTGGCTTCGCCATATTGCCGGGTGGTGGTGATGGTGGGGTGGAGGTGTTGTGTTTCTTCTCGTCAAGCGTGCCGTACGTGGGAGGCTTTGAATCTAACTTCGTCGACATAGAAAGGAACGCAATCCTGCTCAGGCGAGTACGCGTGAGGAAAAGGAGAGGAGATGCAGGTGCACTCACCTCAAAGAGAGAGAGAGACAAGCGGGATGAAAGTGGAGAAGATAAGAAACAACGACAGCACGTGTGCGAAAAGACAGGAGGATGACACCATAATGGCTCCGTACACCGCTGCACGAATGTGCTATCCCTCGCACCAGCGGTGAGAAACTGTTGCTGAAAAGAGCAGCGACAGCGACAGCGGCACGCAGGTGTCTCTGTTACCTTGACGGCGCAGACTCCGTCGGTTGTGGTACCAGCGAATGACGCGAGCGGAAACCACCTCACGCCGCTGAAAGCTGTTGCATTGCTTTTGACGTGACACGAGCGATGCCGTTTTTTTTTTGCTTCTTTTGAGTTTCGAATGATGACGAAAAGCGTTAAATGCCCACACAAAGGCGATGGAGAGAGGCAGCTCCGCGAAGGAGAGAGGTCGTGACGCATAAGCGTTACCGAGCAAGAGGAAAGAAAGGAAGAAACAACATCCACAGTAGCAACAACATCGGCCACGCCAACACTGAGAAAAGGAAATACGCTGCGAAGCTTCAGCGCTTATGGGGGTGGGTTGGAGCAGCAGGGGATAACAGCTCGCCCAGCTGCCGCCAACGTTGAGGGCCGCCAGCCTTGTTCATAGCTTTTGCTCCCACAAGGCACACACACACGCAACGCGCCTCTTTTCTGAAGAAAAGAGCGATGCAAGTCCTCCTCTTTTCGCACTCACTCCGGCGTCGCAACGAAGAACAGCAGCCTATATAAATGGGAAGACCAGCTTACTATAGGTGCTTCATAAATCAAGGAATAACCTACACCAAAGGAAAAGAGCAGAGACTCTGACGTCGTACACACACCATTTTCTTAGCAAAACAAAAAAAAAGCAATAATAATAAGTGCAGAAGTTTTCCATCCACGTCATCCCAACTCTGTCAGTTGAGAGGTAAGGAGAACCCGTTGACGCCGCATTTCTTCCCAACAAGCAAGGAAAGCGAAAGGGGGGGATGCTTCAAAGACAATCGATAGCCGTGACCGCTTCTATGGTCGCAGGCAAGGAAGGAGGACGCTTCCCAAAGGAACAGGAGAGTGTAATACAGAAAGAAGAAAGGAGAATGGAACATTTTCACCTTCCCAATCGCAACTCAGCATAAGGATTGTGATTTCAAGTCTTTTTAAAAAGTTGTATAGCACCACATAATAAAACGTGTGCCTGTGTGTGTGTGTGCAGGTCGGTGTGGGTGGGTCTGGTGTTCACGGCAATAACAAAACGAAAGGAAAGAAATCTAAGCGTCGATCCACAGGACTATTTTTGCTCATTCGTTCATTTGTATTCCTTTTATACTGCAAAAAAAAACCCAAAAATAAATGACCAGTGAAAATAGAAAAGTGTATCACATCTGTGTCCGTCCTCTTCCATTGCTCCAGCACGCCGACACACCCCTCTCCCCTACAGGAAGATTGCGTGATAGTGGGTCTTTTGCAACATCCATCAAAAAATAAACACTCACACAAAGGCTCATCTAAAGGAGTCGTTGCGCAGCGGCGCAAGCAAGCGCAGGCACGGGGGATAAGATTCGGGTAATAATACGAAAATCTTGCTTAGAGCGATTCTACAAGGGAAAGAAAGTTTTAGGCGTCGAAAGTAAATAAATCTGCGAACGTTGACACTGTCCCGTGTCTTCGTTAAGCACCTTAACAAATCGTAAAACAGAAAAGTCATACATATCAAATGCATAAATACAAGACCACACAGTGACGCTGAATAGCAGTCAGCAAACACACCCACACACCCACACACCTACACAGGCATATTCTTAAAGGTTTATCTTTTTCACATGTTCATTCGTCCTCCGTTCTCTTTCTCTCTCCCAAGGGCTAAAAACCACAGGGGAGTTCTTTTCGCTCGTGGTTGTTATATTGCTAGTTGCACTCCTCAACGGCGATCTGCTTCGCCGTCTTGCGCGGAATCATCGCGGGGAAGTACTTTTCTGTCAGGTAATACGCCACGGTGATGTACACGCTGGACACGACCATCGTGCAGAAGGACGTCGCCATAAGACCAAACCCTGCGGTGAGGACGTAGTATTGTTTGTGGAAGGCGTACTTCTCATTGCACCACTTGCCGTAGTAGATCTTCAGCTCCAGCGCGAGCTGCACCACCATCACCACCACAGAGGCGTAGCTGAAGAGGAGCGCCGGCAGCCGCGACCCAGCCAGGGACTTCCACAGCAGCAGTCCCGTGACACCGGCGCACATGGAGAAGAAGATGGATATGACGCTGAAGGCCTCCGCCGCGCGGAAGTAGCGCTGCACCGGTGGGCAGTCGAAGTCCTTGACGAAGATGGAGTAGTTGCCGCCGGGGTGCGTCATGTTCCAGTTGAAGTTGCCTACGCGCTCGCGCCAGAGCAGGACATCCGTCACCGTCATCGTGTTGCCGTCCTTGTAGAACCAGTGCGAGATGGGGCACGAGACGACCGAGAAGAGGAAGGCGGCGAGGGAGAGCAGGGTGAAACCGTGGATACTGTTGTCTACGGTGCGTGCATCGAGGGGGAGTGTAAGGTGGTTCGCCGCGATGATGCCACCAAGACCGGTGAGGACCCACGCCGTGACGGTGAGGCCGAAGCCGGTGGTTGGCTCGTACAGCTGGGAGTGGTAGCTGGAGGCCGGGCCGCAGTCGTGGAAGCTCCACAGATACACGTTGAAGTTGAAGCTCACCTGAATTGTGAGACTGCCCATGGCGCAGGCCGTGATGACCAGCATCGCGTTGCGCAGCGCCACCTTCGGCTTCGTATGCTCCTTCACCGCATTCAACACGCTAAGGACAAACGTGAGGAACGTCATCGCGGCGGAGACGATCGCAAACGCCTCCATTACCCGCACGCGGCGCTTCACCGGTTCACACAGGGAGCTGGGGTGGGCGACCACATCCCGCGCGCCTTCAATTTTTGTCACGTGCTTGAAGAGGTAGAAGAAGTACTGGTGATTGTGGAGGCCGTCCGGCTTGTACTGCATCTTGCTGTACCACGGAACGCCAATGGAGACGACGGTGAAGACGAGGCTGATGGCGGCCATGACAGAGAACAGAATCGGGCCCACCAGCACATCACGCGGCGGCGGCGGAGGGGCGGGGATGTGATTCGACACCGACGGCTTCTCGGTCGACGAGCCGGTCCCGCCGCGGTCGCTGTCGTCGTGATGGGAGGGCGGCCGCGTCTTGCCACTGTCATCCTTGCTGTTGTTGCTCGTTTTGGACAGCATTACCATGGGTGGGTGCAGGGAGGGAGAGAGGAAGGAGAGGAAAACACACGCGACACCAACGGAAATGAAAAGAGAAGCACTTACGCGGTTTTGGAAGTTCACTAACGTTATCGAATGTGCGGAGATAATCCAGCAACTACAAAAACAACAGCGGAGCCGCAAAAAAGAATATATATGTATAACTATAAATATATATGTACGTTTCTTTTAGCTCCGTTGTGCTCTCTAAGCCTGTAAGAGTGGAGGTATACGGCAACGCCACAGCTAAAAAGAGAAGGGATTCGAAGAAGAGAGGCTCTACTTCGTTCGCGAGAAAACACAGAAGCAACGACAATAAGAACAAGAAAAAACTTTCCCCGCTCGGTGAGGGCGTAAACTCACGCGTGCACGCACGGGCTTTCTTGTGCAGCGAGGGTGTGTGTGTGTGTCGCCCTTCCGCTGCTATTTGACGCAAGGTGAGGAAAGGGAACAAGAGTGTGCCGTCGCACAAATCGATGAGAGAGCCAGGACGAGAAAAAACGGGAAGCAAAATAGTAATAGTAAAAAAGTGAACAAGAGAGAAACAACGGTGCGTAGTCCTACGGAAACGGGGGGGGGGGGGCAGCTAATGCCACGTTGAAGTGAGGTGTGAGAGGGGCGCAAAGACCAAGGGAGGAGGAAGGAAGGAGAAGCCATATGAGACAAACACAGAGAGAGAGAGAGACAGAAAGAGACAGGTGCAACAGAAGAGAAAGGCACCTTTAAGGATTCACGCTTCGCTCTGACGTAGCCGTCGAGGAGAAGGAGAAAACGCTGTAAGTAGCCTTGGATTTAGTTTTACCATCCTTGCTATACAAATTAATGGAAGGCGTGACGTAGACAGTTTTACCATAGCTATTATTCTTCTTATCTTCGATCACCTGCTGCCATGCGTGACGCGAAACACTACGTGCGGCATCTTGTCCGCCGTGTCCACACGCTGCAGCAACGTCACCTGCAGCCCGTTCGACTGCGCGGAGCGGGTGAACTCCAAGTAGCCGCCATTTGTGCCAAAGTAGTAGTCCTTTGACGCGATGATCGCCTCACCAGTGTGGGGACGCAGCCAACGCCGCAGCACACAGGCCAGCTTATCGCAAGCCTCCTTATCAAAGGTGACATCGGCGCCAAGAATCACGTCGCAGAACGCGTCCTCTGCACTCGATGACGAAGTTGGTGTACCGTCTTGGCTCTCCCACTTGAGATCTACCCAGTCTCCATGCACAAACTGTACTTGTAATGCAGGCGTGCCGCGATGGCTGCCGTGCAGCCCGGACAGCGTCGCTCGGTTGGCGGTGACCGTCGCGGCCAGATTCGGCTTCGTGCAGACGGCCAGGACTTCCTCGTTGTAGTCCTGGAAGGCAACACGACGAGCGCCAAGACAGATGGCGGCCAGTCCTGGCAGACCCTGTCCACACCCGAGCTCCGCTACGGTACCGGACTTGTGGAACAGCGGGTGGTACTGCGCGGCGTGCGCACTGAGGTATTCGGCCAGCAGCGTGGCACACGACCACACCTTGAGGCCGCCGTAGTACCGACCTGGGATGACATCGCGGTGCTCCGTAGAGGCCGCAGCTTCAGGCCCCGTCACCGAGGTCAGCGCGGAGACTTCGGGAGACGTTTGATAGCATAACGTAAAAGAGAGGGTATCGTTGAGTGTGGTCGAGGAGGCGGCGGTGGAGGAAGAGGACGAGGTGACCAATGCAGCCTTCGGCACCTCCAGCTCCAGTTGGCATGGCTTTGTTGCGGTGCAATACGCGGAGGCCCATTGGGAAACAATCTCATCGTTGAGAGCTACCCATGGGAAGAGTGCGGTGGAGCGCGACGCCGGTGGCAACGTGGTGAGAGAGGCGACGGCACAACTAGCCTGGGTGGTAGGGACGTCGGTCGTTGCTGTCGCCTCGCTTGGCGCGTCAAAGGAGAAGAAGAAGCCGTCCGAGGTGTCCATGCTTGCCCGCTGCGTTCAGCGGAGAACGACAGGGCTGGAGTGTGTGTGTGTGGAGTAGCTAAGGTGTCGCGGTCGTGGCAGGGCCCGCGCGCAACGAGTCTAACAATTGTGAGAATGATCGGAAGAAGAAAGAAAGAAGGAAGAGAAAAAGAATCAGATAGAGGCAGTCGAGAAGGAAAGCGACGATGAGCAACGGGAGAGGCGTAGCACAAGAACAACCAGAAAAAAAGTTAGCTCTCTGATCGGTGCAAAGCCATTTGGAGACATAACAACAACAACACCGCAGACTGTCTCTTAGATACATGTGTGCACGGTACAATTCATCCCTCTGCAAAAACAACATCCGAAAAGAAAGACGTCCCACCACCAACAACACCCAGCAAACCTACAAGCCCCGACACAGAAAGAGACGTTCATCCCCTCCCTGTCTTGCTGCTTCAAACACCTCGCCCCCTCCTGTCTACGTGTAAACGCGTCCGAGGTGGTAAAAGAGTCGGTGCTTCGCCTGCTGCTTCTCGGCGTAGTCGTACGAGGTGTAGCCGCGGCTGTTGAGCATTTCTTCGATGCTGCGGGAGTAGATGTGGTTCACGGAGCCCTCGTAGAGCGTGTTCCACCCACGGGGAAGGCACAGATTCATCCAGCGCTGATAGGCGTTCTGAAAGCGAACGAAAGGGTTCGCGTGCTTCTTGCGCTGGTAATAGAGGCACTTGTCCGTCAGCTCGCGCAGCGCGTCGCCATTCGTGCCGCGCTCGTCGCTGTACTGCTTCACCGCATCGTAGAAGTGACGGGAGTAGGCGTCCACCTGATTGAGCAGGTTCGCCCCGTCTTCGAGACCCAAGGCGAGACTTTGCATCCAGAAAGGGTTGCACGTGTGCGCCGCATCGCCGACGAGAACCGCAGACGGAAGCCCGACGGAGTTGTGAAGCTGCTCGCAGTAGACGGTGGGGTAGGGCCGCGCGACAGACGAGAAGGACACCAACTCACTCGGCGGCAGCGTCGCGTTGGAAGCGGAAGGGGAGGGGGAGTTGTGGTGCAAATCGGGCAGGTAGCGCCGCAGCAAGGCGGCATCCTCTAGCCCCGTCAGCTCCCCCATCGGGGCATAGACCATCACCGAGAAGAGATTGCTCCCCTCCACGCGCGGAAAGGCCAGCGCCACCGGGACCTGGGCCGCGGATTGCACGTGATAGGACTGCGCCGTCGTGATCGCCGTGGTGCGGCGACAGTGCAGCCAGCGATGGATGTGCTCGTGGCTGAGTTCGCTGCTGCGGAGGAGGCACCAGCGCACACCCATGTCAACATCAGCGAGAAAGCCTTCCACGTCTACTAAGCTGCGCAGGTGGGACGATACCCCCTCCGCGGACACAAGCAGATCGTAGTCGACGGCCTCCTCAGCAAACTTCTTCTCCCACTGCCGGGCACTCAGTGTGAGACTCGTGTGCTTCCTGGGCGTGTGCTGCCGTGCCTGCGCCACAATCGCCGCGGTTCGCTCCGCTTCCACCGGCGACGAGGCAGCCGCCTGCGCCGCCGCGTGGTCTTGCATCTCCTTCGCCGCCGCGCTGCCAGCCCAGGTGCGCACCACGAGCTGCTGCCGGAGCGGATAAACCGCCTCCACGACGTGGCGATAAAAGACCTGCAGATTCGCGGCGGGGAGGCCGTGTTGCCCGTGGTCCTCCAGCAGGCGGCGTAGGAGAAAGAGGTCTATGGAGAGCATCGTCACTGCAAAAGGGTGGTGCTCGGTGAGGCCGGCCGTGAGCCAGCTGTTGTACGCCCCGGGGTGGTCCATCACGCCGCGCACCTTCACCCCAAGGTGGCGGAGGGCAGACAGACGGACACCGGCCGCCTCGAGGGCATCCAACGCACGGCGGGTCAGAAGGGCGTACTCGAGCTCGATAAAAGGTGGGTAGTGTGATGGGGACGGGGCAGCACCAGTGGGATCACTCGATTCATCATTTTTGCTGGGAGGGTGCGACTGCGGTGGCTCCGGTGTGGAGCCAAAGTGTGGGCGAACGAGGGGCCCACGATAGGGCGGAAGGGCTTGATTCCAAGACGACGAGGAGAGACGCTGGACGAACTCCCCCGAAGAGGCACCCGAAGCGACGCCACGAAAGCTTTCCTCTGCCTCGTCTTTTTGCAGTTTATCCTTCTCCTTCTCCGAGACAGAGTTTCGGAGCGGCTGATCCTTCACGTCGCATAGCGGCGGGCTGCGCTCGACGACGGTGGTGTGCCACCCACGCAGCGCGAACTGCGCCGCCATCGTGAGACCCACCACGCCAGCCCCCGAGATGATGACGTTGCCTTTGTGTGGAGAAGGCTTACCAGCCACGACGGGTTGCCAGTTCTCGCCTTGGACGGGATAGGCGCGGTTGCTGATGGACTGGAGGTAGAGGTCGCGAGGGACGACGTTCGACTCGAGTGCGCGACCGGAGCCGTCGGTGTAGCGGTTGGTGGAACCGAGAAGACGATAGGCACGGCGGAGCATCGTGGCGATTGAGCACTGAATAGGCCTCACACGATGACGGCAACACCCTCCAGCAGCACCAAAATAAAGTAGCGCGCGGTGTACGCACAATACTTAGCAGAATCGATAGAGAAAAAAAGGGAGGGGAGGAGGGAGGGGGGGGGGGGGAGATAGAGAGCGAGCGATGCAGGAATTAACGCGCCTTCTTTCAACGAGACCCAAATCGCTTCCTCTTCTTCATCGAGCGACGAGCTGAACAAAGAAAACCAACTCCTGTTAGAAAAAAGAGAAGAAAACAACAACATGCAGATGACGCCATAAACAGTAATCGACAACGGTCGGGAATATATATGTATATATTTATATATGTATTCCGACAGAAGGTTGACTTCACCACTTTCTCATTTCCTTTCCTTTCTTTTCATTTGAAACATCACCCTTCCACGACGCAAAGGAGCAAGTATGCGCCATCCACAGCACCAATTTCTTCACTCTCCCCATCTTCTCGTTCCACGCGTCGCTTCACAAACAAGGACCACCGCTTCTCCGCCGTGTCTCGCTTCTTAGAGAGAGAAAACGCCCGTCATTGCTTCTTCAGGGTGTAACCGGTCGTCACCATCAGCTCCTCCACCTCCGACAGACGATGCAACGCCTTGAAGACGTCCACTACGTCAAGTGCCACCGCTTCCGGTACGATGCCCATGCGACACAGCACCGTCCACGACTTCCACACTGTCCCGTGCGCCTCCACCGACAGCGGATAGGAGGCGTCTGTCATCCGCTGTGCTTCTTTCGCCGCCGTAAGAGTCGTTACCATGGAGAGCGCATCGTTCTGCTTGCCCAACAAGGAGAGCACCTGCGTCCTCCACAGCTCGGTGCGCTGCGGCAGCGTACCTGGTGTGACGACCCACAGGTATGTGAAAATGGCACGCACAGCCAGGGGCTCGTCACGGGCGAGTTTGGCCGCACGCAGTGCAGAGAGAAACGCGTGCGCCCCCTTCACTCCTTGGTACTGCTGCGCCCAGAAGAGACGAAAGAGGGCCGCAGTGACGACAGCGTCGTGCACGCTGCAGCGGAGGGCCTCTTTGAGGGTGTGCTGGTCGATGAGAGTCGAAGTTGTTGCTGACGAGGAGCGGGGAGCGCTGTGGCATCGATAGCTGTCCAAAAGAAGGTCTATGAGGCGACACACGAGAGCGGCCGCACCGTGTGCTTCATGACCACCAAGAAGCTGCCTCCAAAGCCGCTGCAGGTTCTTGTCTTCACCATCACTTACAGCGTCACAGGAGGAGATTGGTGCTGCGGCAACTCTGTACACGAATGAATCCAAGCGAGCGCCAAACTCACACGCGGGAGTGTCCTTGACCCTGTCAGCTTCCGTCAAGCCCGACAAACTTGAAGTTGTCCGCAGACGCTGCAGCAGGAGCTGAACCATGTATTGCTGTACCGGTGTCGCACCCGTGTGCTGTAACGTGCGCAGGGAGTGCTGCAGGACTTCGACAGCCTCGGCCCAGCCTCGGCAACTCTCCAAGATGACGACTTCGGACACAGCGGGACGGATGAAGTGAATGGTGTGCGGAATGGCAGCGACGCTACCGCCCAGAAAGAGGGGAGCCCACTCCACGATCGGGACCAGCGGCGACGGGGTGGCGGACACGCCGTCTCCGCTGTGCAGCCGCTGACGGTGGTGCAGGGCGGCACGCTCCATCAAGTGCCACGCTTCCTGTACTGTCCGGCCACGCTTCATCTTCTCGACGTTCCTCGCGGTGCTTGGACGGTGTGCGTGCGTCGGCTCATGAAGTGTAGCGTTGCGCTTGGTGGACTCGAGGTGCACAAAGGTTTGCATGTCTTCCGTGGTCGCCGCGGCGATGCACCGCATCGCGGCTCGTACACTTTCAGAAGTCAGCGGCAGCGAGGCTGGGGCGGTGCCTCGTGCCGTCTCTTTCACGAACGGCTCTGGCAGAGGCGAAGAAGTATGCAGAGGAGGATAGGCGGTGGATGGACCGGCAAGGTAGTCGGCCACCTTACCGCGCAGGCACTCCGCAAGTACCTCTGCGTTGTCGCCGCTCGTGCTGCCGGCCGCGTCCTTCGCTTGCTCTGAACGCTTTGGAGGGAGCTGAAAGACAACGGAGAAGGGCTGCGAGTGGACGAGGCGCGTGGCGTACGACCGGTGCTGAAGCAAGAGCAGCGTTGAGCTCCTCGTTGCCATCGTCTGCTTCCTCTTCTGCTTCTCCAGCGAAGGCACCGTGGCCTGCGAGGAGAGGCGTTGTATGTTCTCCAGCCAGAGTCGGAGGAGAGATGCGTAGACGCCCGACGGTGCAGAGGCGTCGCCGACGCGCAGCAGCGGAAGAGCGGAAAGAAAGCGCATCAGCGTCTCCTCCGCCTTCCCGCTACCGGCACCTCCGTTGCAGACGGCAGCGCACACCGCCGCCACTGACACCACCTCCAACCAGTCCACCGCAGCCTTCGCCTCCTCCACGCACGCGATGCTACTGCCCGCTTCCGAGTCGCTCTCCTGCTGGCGACAAACGAGGCGTGCGGTCAGGCGCTGGCCGAACCACATCAACGTGCGGGAATCCCCAAGAAGCACGCCGGCCTGCATCCACGTCCGTACGGCACCGCGGAGCAGCAGGGCAGCGCTGCTGCCGGCCACCGAAAACAAGCTGTACATCTCGAGCAGGTCCTGACTGGTTTGCTGGAAGAGTTCTCGTGCGGACGCGTAGATGCCGTCGAAGACTGCTGCGTGGGAGGAGCTGCCGGCACCCAACACCCACACCAACACGCTCAGGTGATGAAGAATCAATACGCCGACGGCCCACGGCTGCAGGGATGCCACGACGACGACGGTGGAGGCGGAGGAGGAAGAAATCGAGGAAGGCGGCGGCGGCGCAGCAGCAGGGAACGCGACCAACGGGCGTACGTGCTGCTGGACAACCCACTCGTAGAGTGAAAGAGAGGCAGATGGAGGGGCATCCAGTGCGAACTGCGGAGGGTACAATGCACGCAGAAGAGCGAGCAGTTCATGCCGTAGCAACGCGATGGTGTGTGATGGACAGGCGCAGGCGGACGAAGCTAAAGGGATGTACACGCAGGTGAAGAGCAGCAGTGCGTTCACGCACGCACTCGCCTCGTCTGCTGCTCCTGCGGTCTCGTGTGCAGCGTGCAGCCGTGCACCTGCGCGCACGAAACTCTCCAGCATGGATCGAAGTGGGGCCATGCGCTGTTCTGCATCTGCGTAGAAGTCGTTGTAGTCCTGTGAGAGTGAGGACGACGGCGACGATGAGGTGGTGGCGTGCTGAAGAAGGCCAGCAGCGGCTGCGTGGAGAGAGGCGTACATGTCTTTCCACGTCGCCATTTCAGGGGAGCTTGGCGGCATCGTTAAAGACGGCGGCGGCGGTGGTACGAGGGAGGTGGACGAAGTAGCGCTGTCTTTCTGCTGCGCTGCACGGTCGTCGATCCAGCGGGCCAGAGACACGGCCCATTCCTTCACACCCTGCTGCTTCTCCTCTCCCGCAGACAGCAATAAATGTGTGAGGGATGCGTTGTCGTAAGGAGGCTTCGCGTTGCTACTAAACCTCGCCCTTGCGTCATCCTGCGCCGGTGCTGGCAGCACTCGCACCAAGGCTTCCAGCTCCACCGCACAGGGCCGAAGAGGGGTCCGCAGCGTCTCAGAATCTTTCTGGTGCTGCGTCTGAGGGGAAGAAGTACTGGCGGTGCCGACTGCGGGGTACTGCAGGAGAAGTTGTTGCACCGCGTGACAGGTTAAGCAGTGCGACACCGCCGTCCGCACCACGGACACCACCTCTGCCTCTTCTTGCACCTGCCCGCTGCTGTTTTCATCAGAGCTGCTGTGAGCTGAAAAAGGCGTCGGAATGGACAGCGGATGCTGCCTTACTGCCTGGGGTGCTTCGACTGGTGTAGCGGGCCTTTTCACAAGGTCGACAAAGGCGTCGCTTGCCACGTTGAACAACGCCACAAGACGATGCCCTGATGCGGCTGCGTCTTCCTCCTTGGGTGAGGTCGAGAATGATGGTACAGAGGGAGGTAATACAGTGCCGTGGGTCAACACGAGCCACTGCAGCGCTGCCCGCCGCAGCGGCAGAGGAAACGGCGCGGGTGCCTGCCGGCTGTACACCTGAACGGAACTTCTCCACGGCGTGCGTGCGGTGGGAGCACCCGTCGGAGCTGAGGTCTGCGTACCACCCCACAGCAGCAACAGCATCCACGAGCGCAACACACTTTCTTGGTGCGCAGCAAGAGCGCGGCGCTGCCACTGCTGAAAAAGATGAAGCGAAACCACGTGGGGAAAGGCACTGAGAAGCGTGATGACGTCTTGCGGCGGCGGCGGTGCAAAACATGCTGCGTCATTGGTCACCGTGGTGGCGGAGGCGCACGCAAGCAGCGCCGCTAAACACACCTGCGCATTCACCGGCGAGGCCCGTCGCAACGCGGCTGATTGCAGGTAAAAGGCGAGAAACATGTGCGCAGACGACGCGCCCGTCTCTCTGTCAGCCCTGCGCCCGCCTGCTGCGTGAGCGGCCAATGCGCTCTCCGCGAGACGCAGCTGTGTCATGCTGCTCAACACATCCACGACAGCCGCCGGCTCGCGCAGCGTCTCGTAGGCGGCGACCTCCACCGCACGCAGGAGGACGGGGTAGGTGGTGGGCTGTCCAGGCCACGCCAAGCACCGACGCAGAAGTGCAGGAGGAAGATGAACCAAAGAGGAGGAAGGAAACGAGTCCGAAGCTGCACCTTCACGTACGTCGGTGAGTTGGCGGACGCCGCTACGCACAGCCTGGACGTCCACAGTTCCTTCGCAGAGCGATACGGAAAGCACTTGCTGCGCCGCCTGCTGCAGCACACGCAGCACCGAAGGGGTGAAGTGCAGAAGCGGCGTGGTGAGGAGTTCCATGGGCGAGCAGCCGTCACCGAGGCGAGGGAGAGCAGCCGTGGTGGAAGAGGAGTGCACGGAGGAGGCATCGGCAGAAGAAGAGGCGACGACCGATGTGGATGCTGCCCGGGTGCGCATCGCCGTCGTCAGCTCGTCCACTTGCTGAAGAAGGAGATGAAAAAAAGACGGCACAGCCGCAGACGTCTCGCCAAAGAAGGAAGGTTCGTGAAGGGCGTAAAGCATCTCTAACGAGGTCAGATCACGGCACAGTTCCGCCACGGCCGTAATGGACGCCGGCGCTGCGCTTGTGGTGGCCGGAGCATGAGCGGCGAAGAGCAGCCACAGACGCAGCGGACGCGTCATCGCACTCGCCGTGTCTGCCCAACGCAGCTGCGCGGTAAACAGCTGAAGCCCGCGCTGGCGGTAACGCGCCAGCACCTGCGTCGAGGCTTCAGAAGGGTCGACGTCACCCTCTTCCTCTGCTTTCCGTGTTCTAGTAGGTCTAAATCTCGTGTGCCAGACGAAGGCGACGAAGTCCACCGCCGACACCGCCGCCGCAGTTCTGTGCAGCGACACGACAAGAAAAGTCCGTAATGCAACGCCGCCCTCCGCAGCGGCATCACCCTCCGCGCACCGCCGCAAGCACGGAAAGACAAGTCCAGGCAGAAACTCCGCTGTGCACCACGATGAAAACGCCTCCGCGGCAGATTCTATGGCGTGTCTGCCGTGTGGTTCAACAGGGAAGCGTGGCGGGGTGTCACGCGTCCCTTCCGAACTGGCGTGGACGCGTGCAACGGCGCGGTGCGTGTCGAGGGCGAGTTGCACCACCAGAAAGTAGAACGTACGCTGCAGCTTCGCCACGACGGCGGCAATGCCGTCCACTAAGACCGCCGTACTCCGCAGCCGCGTAAAGGCAGTTGAGGAGGATGCTGCGGAAGATCCTGTTAGTTGCTGCTGCGAAGACGCAGACGCGGTCAAGTGACGCAGCACGTCCTGCAGCACCGGCCAGTCGCGGAGAACGTCGCTGCGCGCGCCGTTGGAGAGGCACTGAAGCAGCGTCATGTACGTGGACTGAGCGGCATCGCGGAGATGCTCCAGCTGTTTCGATAAGACGGTTCCACCATTCGATAAAGGGGGGTTGAGGTTAAGTAAGACGTCAATCCACGGTGCGAGAGAGGCGTACAGCCGACGTGCCAGCGGCTTATCGCGCCTGCGGCATGCCCATGCGAAGGCGTCTAAGAGGAGCAGCATGGTTTCCATCTGCAGACTTGAAAGTGGAATCGGCGTCTTCGAAAGTGGTTCGCCCACTGAAGTGTGAGAAGACCCCTGCGACCGCGGTGATTGCGAGCAGATGTCACGCAGCTTTGAAACAGCGGGTGTCACGCGCTTCGAGCCGGTTTCGTCAGCCGTGCCGTCGCCTAGTGCGTCCCCTCCACAGCCGAGCACCCACCGCATCGTCACGTACTCTACAAATGGCGCCTCTGCCTTGTCGCACTGTCGAAGAAAAGTGCGCAACACGCGCAGCGTCTCCAAGCTCGGTGCTGCGGCCCACCCCCATCCGTGCGATCCAGTCTCCGCGTTGTCTTCTGCGGCGCTCAAGGTGTGCTCGGCAAGCGGGGAGGAAAGGTAGCGGTCGAGGAGGTCGGCGCAGTCTCCCCACATGGTCCATCGATGCACGGTCGAGGCCCCAATCTGCTGTACCAGCGCGTTGATAGACGCCACCACCGCCACCTCCAGCTCAGCATTCCGTGCGACTCGCTGCCGCGCGGGTGCCTCTGACACGACCGACGATGCTTCACGAATGTGACGCGCAGCTGCATCACCCTTCCACGCGTCTTGCAGGGTGTGTTTGAAGGTGGCCATCGCGGCGGTGGTCGAACGACCCGCCGTCATGCGCTGCAGCTCCGTCAAGACTTGCGCTGCTGCCGCCAGCACCTGCTGCTGCACTGACAACGACGACGACGACGACGGCGCCGCAGATACAGCCACGGTGCACTGGGCGTACAACCGAACAAAGACTGCCACTGCCGCCCCGCTCGACGCCGCCGTGTTCGGCGATGGAAGCTTTGATGTATCAGAAAGCGGCATCTGTCGAGCGGTGTGCTGCTGTCGTGCGGCGGTCCACGCCACGACCGCCCTCTGTGCCGCGTGGAGTTGCGCGGCGGCCAGCTCGCGTGGAAGCCACCCAAAATGCACGGTGCGTGGAATAAAGCGGAGCAGCACCAACGGCTGTGCCCGGGCGAGGATGTCGAAGCTCATCAGTACCGTTGCGCTGGTGACGACGGAGAGCGCCTTCAGCTGCTGCAGCGACACGTTGTCGGATGGAGACGGCGGCTGTGTGTACGGAGACGATGAGGAGGCGTTGACCACCACAACGAGCTGTACCGAATCGAGACGCTCCTCCGCCAGAACGGTATCGAAGATCTGCTGGACTGCGAGCACGATAGACTGTGCCTCTGGATCGGTGAGGTAAGGCGGAGGCTGCTTGGAAGACAAGTCAGGTGCATCCGTGAAGCGTGTCTGCGAACGCACGAAGTCCATGACGAGCGCGATGGTCAACGTGTCAGGGCGGCGGATGCGCTTGAACTCGGCCAGGGCCTGCTGCAGCAATGAGTAGGTAGCCGCTGCGGTGGTGATGCCAGTCTGGAGACTGCGCGCGAGCAGCTGAACAAGTGGCGCGTGCGTTGCGGAGAGGAAGGAGCTCGTTCCACTGAGGCTTCGATTCTTTTGCTCGTGCTGCTGCTGATGTTGCGTGGTAGGCTTTGACACGCGCTGAAGGTACTGACGATACGGCGAGGTCTCTTCATCGACTGCCTCTAACGCGCGTAGACGGTAGGCCGCGTACACGCGTTGCGACAGCGCTACGTAGCGTTGCAGGCTGTTGGTCTGCAGGTTTTCTTCATCGTCTGCGGCGGTTGACGCCGTTGTCGCTTGCGGGTGAAGATGGTGCTGGAGAATGCGGGACTGAAGTAGGCGCAACGCCGCATCGTACACGTCAGCCGGAGTGTCGAATGGCGTGGACGGTGCGGAAGTCGCGAGGTCGAGCGTGCATGCGGCATCGTCACTCCCGTCTGCGAACCCGCACAGGCCGAGAAGCAAGTCGAGATCACCGGTAGCGAGTCCTGCCTGTGCGACGAAGCTGACCGCCTGCGGTGTCCACATGGTCCGCCACACACGTGCGACTTCCCCTGCCTCCGCCTCCGCCTTCCCTGCAGGTACACCACCACTACCTGCGATGCGATGGGGCGACGTACGATACAGTTCGACCATGTCCGAATAGCGCCGAACACGACGCAGAGTGTGCAGCGTGCTTTGCAACACGTACTGAGAAAGCTGCAGCTCGCTCGTCATCCGCGACTCCTCGTCGTCGGTGTTGGCATACAGAGTCTCATCAGCGGCGTTCGTTTCATCCGTCACCGAAGGCAAGGATATGCCAGCTGAACTGGTAGAGCAGTGAAGCGGCGAAAGCGCTCCCCACAGCTTCCCCGCAGACGAGCTGTACGAGTACACGAGTTGCCGCCGTAGCTCCACCACATCTCGCAGCAGCTGCTGCGCCACCCGCCAGTCCCCGACTTCCCGGGCAGCGTTACTCACCGCCCACAGCATCTGCAGCAGGGCGGCGCGTTCTTTCGGGTCCATCAGGGCGTGACTGGCGAGGGAAAGCAGATGCGCCTGCACCAGCTCTCTGCAGTCCTCGTTTACAATCTGCAAGACCGCATGCTGCTGTCCTGAGCGGTGCATCAGGGAAACAATGGCCCACACCGTCTGCATGGACGTCACGCGGTGCAGGCTGCTGCGAAAGAAAGCCAGAGCCACCGACCAATACTGCTCTGGCAAGGAAGCGGAGGATGGTGACCGCGTCAACGACGATGACGGCGTGGTATTCGTAGAGGTGGTGGAACGTGGCTGTGCAGCGGTGCGGAGCCCTGGTCCTTGCTGATCCGTGCGAAGACGTCGCGGCGGGCTCGGGTGTGGCTCTATTGGAGGACTCACAAACCAGGCGCCACCACTCGTGGTCGCTGCCGTTGTCTCTGCGAGGGCGTATACCTGGAGGACTTGACGGACGCAGCTGTCGGTCAGCACGGCCACGCCGCTGCGCGTCCGCATCTCGCAGTACTCCAGCGCGCGACTCCAAGACCCGCGGGCAAGCGCGGCGGCGATCAGCAGTTCGTAGGTCTGTGCGTTTGGCATGAGCGCTGACTCCATCTCCTGCAGCTCCGCAATTTGGTTTGCTGAGAAGGTAGCAGACGACGATGCCGTGAGACTTGCCCGCTGAGGCGATGCGGACTCCATCGATGACTGTCCACCTGCGTTGCCCTCGCACACCCTTCCACTCCTCCTCTCCGCCTTTCTCTTCTCTGCGATCAGCTGCTGGACCGAAGCGAGCAGGTGCGCCTGAAACTCCTCCACGTCGTCCATGCGACTCCACAGACGGTGCTGCTGCGCAATATACAGCAGCAGATTAAAGTGCTGCGTGGTCGGGGAGACGTGGTGCTGCTGCACCGCCTCGCTGAATAGATCGAAGGCACGCGTCCATGACGCAGCACCGCGGAGGCTTGACGCTGCAACCACTCCGACTTGTTTGCCTGCGGCCGAGCTGGTTGGTGTCAGGTGAGGAAACAGCGACGACGATGCATGACGCGATGGAAGATACTCCCTTGCCTCTGAGGAGCCGGCGGCGGCGTTTTTTGCGCGTTGATGACGCCGACGACGTCGTCGGTGCAAGAGCAACTGCTGAAGAAGACGATCTTCCGTGCCCGTCGACGTGCTTGGAGGCAGGATAGCTTCCGTTGTGCCTGATAGGCCGCTGTCGACGTTCTCCTCTAACGAAGCATGCGTCACACCCGTGCTGTGAGTTTTGTTCGCGTTCTGTTGCACAGGCGTGATGATGTCGTCGTCGTTAGAGCGGTGAGAGACGGCCGCGTCGCGGAGGTGGTTAGCAGTCGACGCGGCTGCGTGGGCAAAGCTGAGGAGCGTCGTGTGTAGCTCCTGCGTGGACCGAATGGGCGGGACGGTGGTTTCTGCCTCGTTGGCGGAGGCAAAGAACCGCACGGTGGTGTGCAGAGGTGAGCACAACGCAGCACCGACGGCCCCTACACGGAGAGGAGTGTGCGCATGATGGCAGCTGAACGGGTCGAACTCCTTTGCTTGCTGTGGCGCTGCGGTGTAAAGTGCAGATCGGCGCGTGGAGGAGGAGGAGAGAAGGCGAAGGGATGCGCGGCGTCCCCGCATTCGATAAGTCGTAACGGATCTTAAAAAAAAAAAAGGTTTTCCTTCTTTCGATGATGTTCGCACTGGTTCGTTGGTAATGAGTCCGCCGTTGAAAAAAGGAAATACAAGAAGAAGTGGAGTAACTGATGCAGCCTACTCCGAACGTGAGCGGAAAAAAGACATAAAAGCCTACGCGCTTTCTCTTGCATGAACTCCGCCGTGCTCTCTTGCCCAGCAAGAGAGCGAGAAGCAGGCAGGAAAAACAGAAAGCGGCAAAAGGGAAGGAGACGACGATGGAGGAAAGTTGAGAAGACGGGCGACACCCGGCGATTTCATCCCTTTGCTGTTGCGCTTGTTGCTTCCGTCCAAGATGACAATCGGGTTTCGTTGCAGCGCGGTCAACGGCCGCTTTCACAAACAAACAAACAAAGAGCCCACGGCGTGCCCTCTGTAAGAGCTCCTTCTCCTCCCTCTCCCTTCACCTCAAAAAGATCTGAAGCTCAAGAAGCTCGCACACAGGGAAATACAGTGCGCACGAGATGCACCGTCTGCGAAGTCCGAAATACGAAAAAAAACCCTTTCTTTTTGATCTGCCAAGCATGCGATTGCACGGTGCTGGCAGACGGCAACAAACACACACACACACAAGTGACGCTAGCGGTAGGACGGAACACAAAACATCGTCGGGGACGGGATTAGATCGACATGGTCGAACGCCTTGCTGCAGACGTCGAGTGCGGCGGTACGAGCCAACGCAATACACGTGGAAAACACAAGAACACCACCCCCCGAAAACAATACAAAACCCAACACTATAAGGCGCAGCGCAAAAGAAAACGAACATCTCCGCACGACGCCCAACACGATGCGAGGCAAAAGCGGACCACTGCGCCGCGACACACTGCAAAGAGAGAGAGAGACGTAGGATGGCAGCAGAGGGGCGTCTTTCATTCTTTCCTTCACAACAACAACAAAAAAAAACATCTCGTAGTGCATCCGACCAATATGCGTGTACCTGCCCAGCTACGTCACGACGAGCGCCCACCCATGCTGCTGAACTCCGAGTCCAGCCCCCACGAGCCGTGCGTCGTCATCGTCGATGAGGTGGAAAGGGAGGACGTCGTCGGCTCCGTCGGCGGTACCGCGTTCCTCTCCCGCCTAGCATCGTCGTCTTGCTCCGAGCTATCCGCTCCTTCCGCGGTGGAGAAGGAGACATCCACGACACCGCCGCTGCTGTTGCGCTCTGCGTGGCGGCTGCTTGCGTTTTCGACTTCTGCGAGACCCTCCACGAGGGCCCGGGCGTCCTCGTCTAAATGGTGCTGCTCCCGCATCAGCTCGACGACTGCGTCGAGTGGGTTGGGCATGACGCCGCCACCGCCTGCGGTGGGCATAACGGGCCGTGCTCCGTAGCCGTAGCAGCTGGCCTCGCCAAACTCCTCCTCCAGGATGTCGGTGAAGCTTTTGGGGTGGGCGAAGTAGAGGGAATGCCGGTGCTCCTTCAGGATCAGCGGGCCGACGCCAGAGGCGAACATCAGCACGTTCCACAGAAGCCCCATCGGGAAGTCGACGGTCAGACCGAGGGCCACGCGGAGACGCACGAGGTTGGCGCGGGAGATGGTCGGTCCCGACTCCACCTCCACGCGACCAAAGCCGGTCCAGAAGAGATCGTAGACCTGCCGGCTGTCTACCGGCTTTTCGTCCAACGTTGGGTGCCGCCGCTGCCGAGGCGCTGCTGATGACGACGACGACGTGGTGGAGGAGGCATCACGCGACGCGGACGGCGGTGGCGGACGTGCCGGCGGGTGTCCCGAAGGCGATGGGTCTGCCGAGGAGTCGGAGTCCGAGTTGCGGCGAACGTTTCTTGCGTGAACACGTGATGGGGGTCGTAGTCCTTCCGAGGAGGACGACGACGAAGACCTCGCGGACGATGATAAGGAGGCAGAGGTCGTGCTTGGTGAGCGGTAGGGCGATCGCGCCGACATCTTGTCCTGGATCGTGAGGACAGGCAGCGTCCCTGGCGTGAACATCATCTTCGTATACATGCGCGGGAACGCCGCACAGCGCAGGGTGTAAAAGAGGCGACACTCCACACTGTGGCCGGTGGGACTGAGGATGCGGCTGCAGACGGCGATGGTGATCTCGTGGTCGCCCCACATGCGACGGTACACCTGATGGCTGTAGAAGGTGACGTGGTGCATCATGAACCAGTAGGCGAGGAGGTGCGGAAGAGGAAAGAGAAGAGCTACGCGTGGCGCACTCGCTCGAGATCGGGTCGACGACGGCGACTGTTGTTGCTGCCACTGCTGCTGCTGAGTTCGCTGAGGCTGGATACTGCCACTGCTGCCGTCCATTCCGTTATCGGGGTAGGACTGGAAAGCATCCACATCCTCCTCTTCCTCCTCTCCTCTCTCTGCCGCTACACCCGGCCCGGCGCTCTCGTCCACCTCCGCCTCCGCCTCCGGCACCTCCTCGACGAAGTCAATCGAGGCCGAGTCCGAGGCGAGTGTGTCCGTCGAGGTGACATCGGAGTAGGAGGACGAGTACACAAAGGACTCCTCCGCCTCAATCGGGGCGGGGCGGCCGAAGCTGCCGTCGCTGGCCGTCGTGCCGTACTGCGGCTTGTGCACCGAGCAGACCCGCGCAATCCACAACGTGGTGGTGGCCGGCACCGCGCCGTGATAGGCGGACGGGATCGTAGGGAGCGTGATGGTGGCTGAGGGAGGAGGGATTGGATTTGCGCGGTGGTGGTCCACTGGGGTGGTCTCGGCTGCGGCGATCTCCCTCAGACGACGACTGCGCCAGCACCACCACCGCAGAAAGGACTCCGACACGCACGTGGCGACGAAGACTCCCATGCCATCTGGCACCTCCACCGTGCTCGTCAGCATCGCCGCGTAGAACTGCTTACGTTTGCTGTAGGTGAGGAGGTGCATGTCGAAGAGCGGGTTACCGGAGGAGGGGATGACGTGTACACGCGCGGATGAGGTCGGAGAGGTAGGAGGGGCACCATCAGCAGATGACGCGTCGCCCATGCCAACCCGGCGTAGGGATTCGTGGATGCGGGCGCTGTGCACGTTTGCGCTGTCGTCGCGAAAGCGTCGGTACACCTGCTCCCATGAAGCGCGCCCATCCCGCAGTCTGGCTGCGGTGGCAGCGCCGTATTCATCGTTATCACGCGAAACATGCCCGCGGAGTAGGGGAGAGGGGTGCGGCTGGGCACTGCCATGGTCTTTGCCGTCTGTCGGTGTTAAGTAAAACTGATGTGCGTAGGCGAGCCGCCAGTGGTGGGCGATCGCCGCGAGCAGCTTAATGCGTTCCGCCTGCACCGACCCGGCATCGCCGACGGAGCGGGAGTTGTCTTCGAAGAACAGCACCTTCACGGAGGTGTCGCGGTCATCCAGCCAGCTCAGCGGACGCAGCCGGTCTTTCTCCACCAGAGCGTTGACCTTAGTGCTCTTCTTGTGACGCCGGTTTGCAGACGATGCGTCCCCAGCGCCCTTCAGTACCTCTCGCTGGTAAGCCTCACCTGCCTCGTAGGTGCTCGACCACAGGCGGTCTTGAAAGGCCGGTCGGTGGCCACTCGCGGAGAGCAGAAAGTGCAGAGCTCGTCGCAGCCTCTCCGCCTGTCGCTCCCGCCGTCGCGCAGCAGCCGCGGCCTTTTTACTTTTCTTATCGGGCGGTCTTGCAGAAGGCGGGACATCCGCAGCAGCGGGCTTTGGGCTTCCCTGCGCGGACAGCATCCGACTCGCCGGCGGTGGCGTCTCGGTGTGGGTGAGGTTGTTCGTCACGAGTTGGGTGGCACACAGCTGCGCGAAAAGCAGCGTCTGCTCCTGCGCCTTGTCCACGCCCCGCCTCATCCCCGCACTCAACCCCACGAAAGAGCTGACCGCCTTTTGCGGCGTCTCTTCGGCGGGAGGGTCGGAGATGTCCTCCGGCGTCACGCGCAGTCGCTCGAGCAACTCCACCCGCGGCCGCGCCTCCTTCGAGGCGTGGTAGTGATAGAGGCGCCATGCCGCGTCGCTGCAGGCGCACGTGGCCCCCACCATCGTCGTCGCCGTCGTGTCCACCGCCCCCGCAGGCCAGGGCGACGTGCAAAGGACCGGAGAAGAGGAGGAGGAAGTGGCGGCTACTGCTGCTGCTGAAGTCGCCGCGTTCGTCAGCTTTGCGGGTGGAATGAGGGACTTAAAAAACTGAACCAGGTACCGCATCCACAGCTGCTGCCAGAGTTCATTATTGCCCCACAGGCGCCGTCGAGCGTCGCGGCAGACGTTGGTGAGGTGAAAAAGGACGTCATCGACAGGGACGAAGGAGCAGATGTAATGAAAAATATCGGCATCGAGGTCGAAGAGGCTGCGGTGGCGGCGCGGAGGAGCGGACGGCGGTTGTGATGGAGCGGGGGTCGATGGACTCTCCGCCACCGTCCCACGCGGCCTGCTGCGTTCTGCGGAGATCGGTGGATTCATCTGTTGCTGGTCGAGGCGCGATTAACGTGTGTGTTTGCTGTGCTGCGATGGATCGTTTGTCTACTGTTGGATGTAAATAAATAAATAGATGTATGGCAGAGCAGCATTCACCCGCCTAAAGCACCACTGCCGACCGTGGGAGAGTAATCAATGTTACACGAATGAAAACCAAAGACTAATCAAAGTAGTAGTAATAATAAATATATAGAAGAGCGTCTTGTTTTGTTTATTATTTTCGCTGTTTGAGGACTGCGTCGAGGTGGTGCGAAAACAAACGAGGCGAGTATAGAAAGAGGCGTGTGCCGATGAAGTATAGATATCTGTGCATATATATATAGGTGAGGAGAAAGTGGAGTACAGTAACACCGACCGAATAAACAAGAGAAGGACGGTATCAACAATGTTCAGAAAGTGATGCGGAAAGAGTGGCGGTGAATTCGCGTAGTTGCCATCAAAGAAAAACACACACACACACACACACACACCCTCAAAACGCCACCCTTTCTTTTGTTTTGCTGACTTACTTCACCTCGTCAAAACGGCAAAAGCAAAGGTTGGCTCAGGTGGAAAGGCACACGAAGGGAAAGAGGAGGCAGAAGGTAAGCGTGTCCCAATAGAATGATGCAAACATGGAGGTAAAGAGCGACAGCTGTATTGAGAATCGAAGTGCGCAGGCGTATTCCGCACGGTGAACAATCCACAGCGGGGGGGGGGGTACAACACTTCTCGTCTCGAACAGGTCTCTCTTCTTCTCTTCTTTTCTCTTCCTAGGTGCGTGTGAGAAAGAAGATGGAGCACGGAGAGAAGACTCGATGACTCCCCTGTAGCACCGTGACCGTCCGTTCAGCCCAGTCGCTTCCCCGCAGCCGCAGCTTTCAACGTGTGAATTTCATTCATTTAAGTTAGCATTACTCATGTAAGGAGGCCGCCTCCCACGTAGACGGGCTTGTGTCCTCTCCTTCACAGGTCGATAGACATACAGCACACCCGGCCACTCACACAAAACGCCAGGGATCTCATCGATTTACTCCTGCAGGCGCCGCACCAGCGCATCCCACTCCTTCAGGCTGCCCTTCCCACGGAACCCAAACTTCGAGGTGCCGCCCTTCAGGCCCTCCAGCGTCTCCTTCGCCAACTCCACCGCCTTCTCCATGTCCGCCGGCGACTCCCCACCTGTAATGAAAACTTGCCCAGCCACGTCCTTCGCGCTCGTGACGGTGCCGGTGACGCAGCGGTCAGCCGTCCAGGCAGCGACCAGCACAACACGGCGATACCCCGCAGCGTCCAGCTGCAGACGCACCTCGTTAAAGAAGTCGAGTTCGACATCGTCGCGGCGGAGTGCAACGACGATCACGGCAGCTGCCTTGTCCTCCTCCTCCTTCTTCGCCACCTCCGTAAGGATGCGACGGGCCTCGTGACCCGCCAGCTCCAGCGTCCACCGCTTCATCATCTTCTCCGCCTCCGTCGCCTCTTTGGAGCGGCGCTGCACAACCGTGACGAAGTCCTCCGGCCTGCTACCGCCCAGCTCCGGCATCAGCTGACGCTCTCGCTGGTACATGGCGTGAAACTGCTGTGCCGCCCGGGCACCCGTGATGAAGTGCAGCTTCACCGTTGTCCCTTTGACTTCTTGGTGTAGGAGGTACATGGCCTGCAGCTCTGCCAGGGTATGCAGGTGGGTGCCGCAGCAGGTGCAGCTGTCCATGTGCGTCAGCGAGATGATGCGAATCGGGCCCTTCACGTCTTCCGGAATGCCACGGCTGCGGAAGGCTTCCTCGCCGCCGCCGTCCTCCGCGGTAACGGGCGAGGCGGCTCGGCGTTCCTGCTCCTGCTGGTACGCGTCGCGGCTCACAAAGACGTCGCACACAACCGGGGTGCTACGCGCAATCGCGGCGTTGCACAGGTCCTCTATCTTCGCCACCATGTCATCGCAAATCTTCCTCTCTTTTGTCACGTACGCGTGGTACGGAGAGGCAGAGTCGCCCGCGTAGGCGCCGACGTCCACCTGGATGAAGCAGTAGGGGTGCGTGAGGGACCAGCTGACCGTCGGCAGGTGCATTGTGTCCGTGCGCTCCATCACGGCGGTCAGTAAATGCTGCCCTGTGTGGTGCTGCATGTGGTCCAACCGGCGCGGCCAGTCCACGACTTGATGCACCGCCGCGCCGACCGTCAGTGGCACCGAGCTGGTCAGGACGCAGGTGTCACCGACACGACGGACACTGGTGATGGGGACCATCTTCGTACTCTCCTCTGCATCAGAACCCTTCTCCTCCTTCTCCACCACCCGCAGGGTGCCGTAGTCGCACGGTTGACCGCCGCCCTCGGGGAAAAGCACGGAGTCGCTCAACACAACGTCGAAGAGTTCTGCGGTTGCAGCGCCGTTGCCGTCTCCGCCCTTCGCCTTTTTCTTGCCTGCAGCGCCGGCGGCTTTGACGGGCTCGCAGGACACCACCGTGGCGGTCAGCTCGCGCAGGAAGGAGTTTTTCTGACAAGCGAGCTCGCCCACGCGCACAAGCGAGGCTGCTGCTGCCGCTGCGGACATCCCCGTTGAGGTGAAGAAGAGCCTTTTTACCTTTTAAAGAGAGAAAAACAGTAAACAAAAGAAAGCTGCGTGACGTTGATCTACCAGGGGGAAGTTCTGGCGACGTATAACGGCTACGATCGATAGGTAATATTCTTGATAATAATGATGATAAGGGTGTAAGAGGGAGAGAAAAAACCAAGTAATGAAGAAGAGAGCTGGATTTTCCTTTTTGCTTTGGAAGGGAACTCGCCGGAAGAGGTCGGAGTTGCCTTTGGAATCGATAACGACGGTGACGCCGCGAGACGTCAGCAGTGTTGTGACACAACGTCAAGCAGTGGAAAAACAAAGAAGAATACAGAGGAGTACCCGAAGGAGAGCACGACACACATTGCGACCACTCAAGGAAAGCGAGGGAAGAGAAGAAGAAAATGGGCGGTGAGAAACGGGCAGTTGTCAGAAGGCGGAATAAGAACATAACGGCGCGAAAGGAGGAGGGGGTGTTAACAACTTCCTCCCAGGTGCCCGCCGCCACCATTCTATTTCGAAAAGCAAAGGGGAAGAAGATACGCCTCTTCAATCCAACAAGACGATAAGCTCCTGCAACCAGTATTGAAGCAGCAAACAAACTACGCGTGCGTTGAAGCAAGTCTCAAGCCAGCTGCTCCTGCTGCTGGGTTTTTCCGTACACATCGTAGAGAGGGTGGAGGAGGAAGCGTGACACAATTGGAGAGAGAATCTCCTGTTTTTTTTTTTTACTCTTGTGAAGGAGCGCTGAATGGCGAAGGAACGAAACGAAGATCGTCAGAGAAGAGAGATGAAGAGAAAGAAAGAAACAAACAAACAAACAACACACACACACAAACACAGACACAAATATAGTCAAAAACGACGAGAGCCACCGGCGCTCTTCTTCACTGCACGGGTGAGGCGCAGATCAGACCGCAGCAGCAACGTCCACTTCATCGAACGCGGTTGCCCTCAAAAAAAAAAAATAGGAAGAAAGAAAGAGCACTCGCACGCAGCAGAGAAGAAGACCCGCTCTCTCTGCTAGTCCTGCAGTTTCGTCTTGGCCTCCACCGACTCCTCTACTTGGTTCAGCAGCTTCGTGAAGCGCTTCGACCGCTGCTCGTCAAAGAACTCCTCGCGGTTGGCGTTGAACTTCTTGTCTCCCCGCTCGTGGTTCTTCACGAACACCTCGTTGATGCAGGCGCAAAACTGCTCCTTCAGCGGGGCGCAGGTGTTAAAGATCTGCAGCACCGGGTTGCGATCACGACAGACGAAGTAGTCGCGAATCACCGACTTGCACATGGGGTAGTCCGACAGGCGGGGGTGGCAGGTGATGCCGCGCAGGAAGAAGTTGTCCTTCTCATCGCTGCGGCGGATGTAGGGGTAGTAGTCGGCCCGCAGCTTCCAGTACTCGTAGCTTCGGAGAACGTACACGTTCTGGCGCCAGGTGCTGTGCTGGTGGATGTAGTCGTTGATGCGACGCTCATGCTCATTGTCGGTGGTTTGGAAGTCTTTAGGGAGAAGTCCGTGACGGGCACGGGTATTACTGGGGTCCAGCGTGGTGCGGAACTCGCTAAAAGCGTCCTTGCTGAGGTAGTCCTTCACCTCCTCGGGTGACTTGTCGAGGGCGCTCTTGTCGGCAGACATGTTCGTTTTGGCTTTCCAACGGTAGGAACTGACACGCAAAGGGATGTGAGTGAGTCCAACGAGGGTGCGCCCTACACCAGTTTTTTGTAGAGGAGGGGGGGGGGGCAATTGGCAGAAGAAGGAAAGAAAACGAAACAGAACGGTGGAATGAAATACAAAAGTGAAGTGCGGGAGAGGGAGAGAGAAACACGAACGCGCTGCTCTTCGTTTTGCGTCCGGCAAATACCTCAGAAAAAAAAAACAGTTACGAGGCTACTACATGGAAGCGCGTGAAGGGGCGGGGGTTACAAAGCACCGTTTTTTTCATTGAACATTTGATCCCCGGCGCTTCCGCATCTCCGACGAAGAGTAGCAAGAAAAATAATGATAATAAATGCGCACGTATAAGCACGTTGTCGCCGACCTTTTGTGAGGGTTGCCGTGTACTTGGTTTACTATCCACAAAATCTGTTTCTGTCTTGCTGTTCTCGTTCGTTTAGACAGTTCGTTGCCGTTTACGTTAAAAGGAGTTCATTTACGAATGCTGCAGTGTGCGTTTGCTGATGCTTCGTCGCAAGTTAGTTTCCTGCTTCCTCGGCGCAGACACGGGAAGGCCCCTTCTCTATCTCTCTCTCTCCGAGATTCCTTGTGGTGGCGGCACAGAAAGCGTCAGTGGTGCTAAGACCAAGCACCGTTAATCGCGTAAAAAAGAAGAAGATGAAGATAGTTTTATTATGCCGATCAAAAACGAAGGAGAGCTCCGCCACGAAACCCCCTCCCCCTTCTTTCTCACACACGCAGTGCACGTAGCACTTCACGGACATCGGCCCAGCGAACAGCCGCGTCGGCCAGCGCTGTTGCCTCCTCCCCTGCGCGGCGTTCCTCCTCGCCCAGGTAATAGAGAATGCTGTGGGCGAGTAGCACTGTAGGGACGGCGCAACGCTGCAGAACGCCCGCCACACCAGCCGCCGCGTTACCAAACAAGAAGGGCACGGACCTCTTCAAAAGAAGCGCCAGCGGCGGTGCTGAGATGTCGGTGGCTTCTTTGCTGTCGCTGGTGTCGGTGCGGGTGAGCAGCGGGTGGCCGCTGCTGCAGAGGAACCACAATACACGTAGGAGGCGACGCACGAGAGCGTCCACCACGCCGGGGTAGGCGAGAAGGACCCCCACCACACGCGTCTCCGCGGGCAGCGGCAGTGATGGTGCAGAGCGGTCCGCTGCTGCACCGGCCTCGTTCTCTCCTTCTCCCTCACCCTTCTCATCGTCATCAGCTCGTGGATGTTTTACGGCGGCAGGGCGCGATACGGACGTCTGCGCACGTAGGGCGAACAGAAGGCGGGGCACGAGGCCAAAGCCCTCTTCCAGCTTTTTCGCCGCCGCAGATCGATCTGCCGTCGTCGATGCCGCGGTGAGATCGCTACCGTTGTGACGGGTGCTTCGCCCCCGCAGCAGATCATCAGGAAACGCCGCAAGACGCTCCAGAATGTGCGACGTGCAGAGGAGCGTGCGCACCAACGCTGCGTCCTCGCTGCTGGCTGACGCAGACAGAGAGGCGCCGGCACACTCCGTGCGAGGGACAACGTGTTTGATCACCGCGTTCAACAGTGCAGGGAACAACGAAAGAAGGCGGATGGCCACGGTGCTGTGCTGCTGTTGCTGGAACGAAACCAACGACGCTCGGCTCACGCTGGGCTCTCCCCACAACGCCTTCGCTTCCTCTGTCGTTGCATTACCGGAGGCAGTCCCTTCGGCATCGTCGCCATCGTCCGCAAGACGCACGTGAGCTGCCGTGCAGGGGTACAGCCGAAGCACCTGCTCATACAAGCGCACGGACATCTCCAACAGGGCCACCGAGGGAAAGCGAAAGGACTGAGCAGCGTTCGAGGTCGCAGAGACGGCCGGCGACCCGCCGTTGCCTTTCGCGACCGCCTCCCCTCCCCCCTCCGCCGCCGGCTGCTGCTGCTGGCGGGGAAGGGAAAGCACAATGGAAAAGTAATCGCGCATCAGGTGCCAGCCCTCCTCTGTGCCGGCCAGAGGGACGCACACCATCACTAGGGCGAGACCGAGCTCCAAACGCGCCTTCATGCTGCGGGGACTGACGGCGGACGTGGCCGGGGCAGCAACGGCGGTAGCGGCACTTCCTTGAAACGGCTGCAACAGCTCCTGCATCGTCACAGGCATCTTGTCAATGAAGAGCGCTTTGATGTAGGACATCCGATTGCGGGAGAAAAAGTTCACTTTGCTGTCCTTCACGTAGCCGCCTTGAGCTCGCTGCTGGCGCTTCAGAAACACCAAAACAGTGGCGAAGGAGCGCGCCAAGGCGGACGCCGTCGCAAGCCGGTCCTCCTGCCGCAGCAGCTCCAGCCGCAGCTCCATCAGCTCCTTCCAGTGGTTCGCCCACTGCGGTGCGACCTCGTCGAAAAACTGGCTCACCAGCTCTGGATGGCGCCACACGGGACGCGCGCTGTCGGCCATCATCGGCACTGTTGTTGCCGTCGCAGCGGCAGCGGCTCTCGTTTCCGCACCACGGCCCCCGTCGTGCGCGGTGCGCTCATCCACGCAGCTGCGCAGGAGATCGGCCACAACGGCCTCCTCGCCGGCCGACGAGGCGTCCCCGCTGTGTCTCAGAAAGACACCGAGCAACGCAGGGAGGACGCCGATGTGCTTCGTGCGCAGCACCAGCGCAGAAACGCGGCGCACCAGCGTCAGCACCCACTTCTCCTCCTCCTCCATCGCCGCGGCCGCCCTGGACTGCGCAGCTTCCATAGCAGAGGGGGCAGGCGATGACGACGGGTCACCGGCGGCGCCTTTTTTGGAGGTGCGCGGCGCCCCTGCCATGGCCACGCCGCTGCCCATCATCCCCCCCATCACCGCCGCCGGACTGCTGTAGTAGTAGGCGGTTTGGTGGCGACAGACGGCGCGCGCGGCGACGCGCACCAGCGCAGGCGGGGCCACCCGCAGCAGCAACGCCAGCAACTCCACCCCTGTAAGACGCACCGACTTCAAGGCGTGCGTCAGGGCAACGTGCACGGACTGCAGAATCGCCTGCACGCGGTCCACCGACACCGTCGAGGGTGCCGCTGCTGCTGCGGATGCCACGGAGGCTCCTGCAGTCGTGGAGGATGAAGAAGACGCCGCAAGTACGCGCTCTGCCTCATGAGCTTTGCCAGACTGCACATCCAAGAGCAACGCATTGCAGCGCTCGAGTTCCGCGGCGTCCTGCGTGGTGGCGACGCTGGGCAGGCGGGAGATACCTGCATGCCGATCACGCTCCGACGAGATCCACTGAAAGTCCACCAGCACCTCCAGCGACTGCAACGCGCCACGGCGCACATCGTCATCGGTGTCGGTGACGGCCTCCAGCGCCGTCGCAAACGCCTTCAGCTTCTCCAACGCCGTCAGCCGCGACAAACCGGCAGAGGTGCCAGACGTGGAGGACTTTCCGGCTGGAGCCTCCTCTGAGGCGGCGTAACGCATGTACTCCTCAAAGGCACCAGACGACTCTCCGCGTGTGCTCGCCGCCCGTGCCGCAGCCGCCGCGTCCTCCTTCACCTTCTGCGCCGCGAGAACACGCGTCAGCGTCGCAAAGGAAGACGCCCGCTGCGCCGATTTGTAGTGGTGGGTGCCGGCGAGGAGTTCGGCAAAGTTCTGCACCGCAATGACGGGCCGCTTGCGTGTCTCTGCCTGTGCCGCCTTCTGCCTTGCAGCGGCGGTGGCCGAGGACGGAGGATGCTGCGCCGGGTCTGCCACGCGCGGGGCGGCCATCGCAGCTGTCATGGCAGCGGAGGTGGAAAGGCGCAGCGTGCGGGCGTGCACCTCGGCCCGCGTTGCCGTGGCGGGGGCGAGCTTCTTGCGGCCCACCTTCTGCTTCCGCTTGGTGAAGGCGCCATCACCTTTTGCCTTCTTTTCCTTTGTGCGCACCATGACGTCGTCACCCAACACTAGTAGTGTGGGAAGGGAAGAGCGAAAATAAGATGATAATGGATGTGCAACGCCCCGGCAGCGAGCGTCGACGCAGGAGGCCCTCGTTGACTTCTCTCGGTTCGGGCGGTCGAGACGAAGGCAGCGGATACCAAGGTGGATCTGGCCGCAGAAGGCGAGGGACACATAGAAAATGACCGGAGGGAGAGAAATGGAGGAGAGGGAAACAGAGGAGGGACGACGCTTCATTGTTGAAGGGGTAAGAAGGGAAAACAAACAAACAAAATTGAGGACGTTGTTTCGCTTCCCATTCAAAACGAGCGTTTTCTTTTTGGGAAAACAAAAACCCAATGCTTCATGATAACTGAACTTCAACGCACACTGCCACTGCGAAAGAGGCGCTAAGCAAGACGTCCAACCAAACCCTTTACCATAAAGTGATTACTAATTCGACGGCTAAAGCGGATATTTAAAAAGGCACCCTCCCACGCATAACTCACCGCACAGGGGAAAACAACGAGAGGGACAGGGGGCGAGACAGTGAGCAGGAAGATGAGAATCAGATGTTGAAGAAGGATGTAGTTCCCCTCCCTCTCCTTCCCTTCCTTCATGCTGCGTTTACGTAGTCGAAATCACTTTCGCTGCCGACGCTCGATAGCAGACAGGATCGCTGCACGCCGCGCATCTGCATCGCCTGGCGCACGAGCCCCACCACAATCGTTCTGACCTCTTTTCGCCGGCTCATCGGAATGCGGTGCCCCATCGTCATCTTCTGAACTTGAAGTGCTGCTGCTGCTGCTGCGGCCGGGCGCGGTCTTGCGGGATGAATTCAATAGAAGAACAGCACAGACATTTCCAGCCCTTTCCGCGCCGTACCTATCGCTTAGTGGAGCTGATGGTATTGCGGCTACCGTGGCCTCTTCGGAGCAGTGCTGCTGCTGCCACTGTCGGCGCCACCGTCGCCGCACCGCACGCGTGGACTCCAGCCACTGCGAAAACAGGGCATCATCGGCACTCACAAACAGTTCCGACGGTACATCTGCCGAACTGTACGACAGTGGCTGTTGCTGCGGTGCCTCCGTTTCAGTACCGCGATCTACGTCCGTTGCCGGAGGATTCGCTCCGAGTGCCCGTGCGTGCGCACCATCTGGCCTTAACGGAGAGGCGCACCGCGCGTCATGACGCATTTTTCGCCACGTGCGCGAGTCCTTCACGAGGCTGAGCACCAACGTAACGGACGGGTGCGGCCCTGCAGGGACGAGAAGAGGCAGCTGCGTTCGCGTGGCCGTGCGCCTGCGACGTGGAGGTGGAGAAGTCGTACTGGTGCTGCCGTTGGTTTGCGGTGGCTGTGCAGGGGAGAGGAGTCGCCGCAAATCCATTTCGTCGTCGGTCGCTTCATCGTCGATGACCAGCACCGACGGAGCCGCACCGCGATTGCCGTCACGCTTCGCTGCATTGGGCCTCTGCCCACCGTGTACGTGGAGGTGCGTGAGAGGCATCCAGCGATCCAGCGCGGCTGCCAGTGAGCTGTCCACCGTCACGCCGCCTTCATCGTGAGCGCCTTCACCGTAATCGCTTTCGTCCGCTTCATCACGCCCAAATCCCCCGTCGAGGAAAAGGGCGCGGAGAGCCTCGCGCCGCAGCTGGGAGGCACGCATAACGTACGCAGCGGCGCTGTTCTCCGCACCGGCGGGGCGCAGCGATATCGAGGCCTGGATGAGGGTGCTCGTCAAGGTGCAGATGCGCTGCGAGAGGAGCTCGTCCAGGTCCCACCCACTGCTCACGTAGTGAAAGATATTCGGGTCGTAGAAGACGGCGAGGGTCAGGGTAAGTGCGTCCGCCTCGTCTTTGGCGGTCGTCATCGCTGAGGGAGCGCCATCAACGATGTCATTCATTTGAACACCTACGGCTCGCTTTTTGTCTTTGATGAGGCGAAGGGTGAGCTGTTGAAAGTCAATTATGTGAAGAGGAAATAAAAGTAAGACGAAAGGGCGGCGCGTGCATGGAGAGTGATTCGCTTACGTGGCCATCTGCTGTTTGTACCGGTAAAGCCCCCGTTTTGCTGCGGAGGAAGCGAAATAGCCAGGCGGGGAGGGGTGGTGGTGGGAGGAACGGGCTCTCATTAAGAGTCAAATGCACCATGCCACGGATCGTCCCAAGGCACATTGGCCGCTGTCATTACCGGTATGGAGGGTTGCCGCATGATACGTGTTTCCTCCCCCCTTCCTAAAAGAAAATGAAGTCAACACACGAGCAACAATGCCGACGCCTCCTTCTGCCTTTCCTTTTGGATTTTTCTCGCTCCTCCTAAACCAAAAAGAAAAGGCAAACACAAAAGAGGCATCGCATTCAGGCCGAACGTTAGGTATTCTTTTCGTTTTATTCATACTCTCGCTCTCTACACAAAAAGTCGAAGTTGTCATCCATTACATCGAAGGCACGAGCCTCTCTCTCTTCTGATGAGAAGAGGCTCGTGCCTTCGCGTACACAGCATCGCTAAACACCCATGTCTGATGTGCATTACACAGTGGTAATAATAGTAAAAGAAGAAAGAATCAAGAAAGAGAAAAAAAAAAACTACTCATAAGTACAGGAAAGGAATTGAACGCGGTAATTCATGTCTCATTTCAAGTATGTGTGTGAAGAATACCCAGCCAGAGAAAAGATTCTACGGAAAAACAAAATCAAAACCACTCACACACACGCTCAAAGAAAATGGCGGTAGGCGAACTATCTGCAACTGCATCTGCGTTACATCGAACACCACAATGGCGAGGAATAAAACAACACGAAACCTAAAAATAAAGAAAACAGTGAAAAAAAATGGAGAAAAAAAGAATCCCTCCTTGACTTAATATGCGTTGAACACAGATGAAACACCTTCGTGTGACAAGACGTACGAGAACGCAGTAGTACACGAAAAGGAAGGTAACAAATAAGGATAAAAACACCCACACACCTTCGAAAAGAACACCCCCCCAAAGCGACACCATCCACACACACTCTTCGTTGGCGCATGGCGTCTCTCCGACACGCATGTGACCAGGGAGTGCGTATGTGCGTGTGCGTCTCTCCGTCAAGCTTCTGGCACTATTTTTTGTGTGTCGTCCGCTGTGGGTGTCGCTTTTCCACCCAGAAAGAAAAACAATCGTACTATAGTACGCGTATATCATTCTACACATAAATAAATTTAAATGTATGCATATATATTATGCAATCAGCTGTAGATGCAGTGCCGCCGCTTCTTTGGATCTACTGCTCTTACATCCTTTTCTTTCCTTTTCTTGTTTTCAATTTGCTGAACGGAGCGACGGGAAAAATTTTTAAACAGAGTTTTTTTTGGCGGTCCAGCAAAAACACGACGACGATCCCTCCCCGGCAACGTTTGGTGTGCCGCCTGCGATGACGGCGCCCTGCGCCACACGAATTGTATCCGAAGTCGATGGACATGGCGCACACCTGCTGCGGTCGCCAAGGCCCCCCAAAATAATAAATAATAAAACTAAAAAACTGATGTACATATATATATATATATATACAGCGAAAAGAAGAAGAAGAAAAAGAAATACCGCTTAGCGAATGAGTACGGTCCAGAAATCACTGCAGAGCTAAATAACAATAATAGTAGTAGTAATAGAAAACACGTGAGCGGTCGATGTTGCTGTACACACGGTAAGCAGCAAGAACAGCAGCAGCAACAAGAGAAACTTCACTCTCCCACATAACACGTCGTACACACACGCATACACAAATAATAATAATAATCGATATGAACATAGTTCTTTGATTTAGGATCCGTTGGCAATTTCTTTCTCTGACCTCTCCCCTACAAAAAGAGAGAGAAAGAGGAAGAAAGAGAGAAACAGCGAGAGGCGGAAGCCTTTCCGTTTCCAGGCCGCCGTGTTGAAGGGATGGAAAAGGAAATAAGGCAGTAATGCCTAACTTCCGTGCTAAGTACGACTCCGTTCGACAACATCAGCAGAAGCGATCCAACAATACAAGATATATATACATACAAGGTTGATATCGTAAGAGAAGGCAGACAAAGCAACGCATGCAGAAGCACACAGCCGTCGAGTTCGGCGAGCATCCGTCTATTCTACGCGTCCCTCTCCCTTTCAGAGAAAGGACATAAAGCGTCCTTGACGCCGCTACTGTTGATTCCATTAACGTTACTTATTCATTTTTCTTCTTCCTCGAAGTCTTCTGTTTATCCCTTACGAGGGATCTCCCTGATCCGGTTCTGCTGCCCCCTCTGTTTCCGACGGGGTCCTGATTGGCTTCCTTGCGTCCGCGCGCAGGCGCATCAGGGCTCGCTGTCGGCGGTACTCCGAAAACGTGACGCGCGTCGGCGGCCCTCCTAGGGAGACCGTGTTGAGCCGTCGCCGCGACGGAGGCGGCGCATCCGGGTCGACTGGCGCGAAGAAGTCGCTGTTCACAAAGATGGAGCTGCTGCGACCCAGCCGATGGCTCTGCCGGCGGTGCGGGGTTTGAAGAGAACGGCTGAAGCCGGGCGACGTGGCCGCCTCGTTCATCGCCATAGATTGCGACATGCGACGGATCTTCTTCGCCTCCTCGGCCGTGCCGCAGACTCGCAGAAAGACCTGCTCGAGCGAGACCTGCGAGACGCTGTACTCGGTGATGCCGAGGCTCTCCTGCGCGGCCTGTAGCTTCTCAAAGACGTCGGAGAGGCGGAGGATGGGGTTGCTCAAGTTGCTGCGCGATATCGAGCCAAAGCCGAAGTTGGTGGACACGTTGCGGATGGACTGACTGCGGAAGGACACATTACCGCGGCGCTGCTGCTGATTCTGCAGGCGCTGCATCGCATAGGCGACGTCGCGGGTGGCGGGCAGCGTGTACACGAAACGTTCGTTGTTGAAGTTGTCAACGAGCAGCGCGGAAGGGAAGTGCACGAGCATAAACTGGAAGATGTCGTCGGTGGTGTCGATGTGGTCGATGCCGGCGTACGAGATAGACCTCATGCGGCTCCGCGTAAAGGATGCGCTGCTGGTGGCGTGCGTTGCACCACTGGGGTGGGGTGAATCCGTGCTTGCATTGCCCCGTCGACCCGCCTCCGCTGCTGATGGTGGTGCTGGGGCTGCTAATGCCTGATGCCGGGCTGTCTCTCGCCGCTCCATCGCACGCCTCCGTGACGTGGCCGACACGCACAAGGTTAGTTCGTAGGCGTTGCGCGCGTACTTGTGCCTGAGGTGCGGCAGGTCACCGAAGCAGCGGAGGCCGCCGTCCACCATAATGCCGACGCAGTCCGCGAGGGCCTCGACCTCCTCGAGGTGGTGGGTGGTCAGGATGATGGAGCACATGCAGGATACACGATCCAGCGCACGCCACATCACGCGCCGCGCTAGCGGGTCCAGGCCGGAGGTCGGCTCATCCAGACAGACCACCTTCGGCGCGCCAATCAGCGCAATGGCCACGCTCAGCTTGCGACGGTTGCCACCTGAAAGCTCGCCGGACAGTACGTGTCGGTACTCCGTCAAGTTGCAGATCGCAAGCAGGCTGGACACGAGTGACTCCACACGGTCCACTGAGACACCGCGGACGAGCGAGTAGACGCGCAGGTGCTCCTTCACGGTGAGCAAGTCGAGGCACGCGTCAAACTGCGGACAGTAGCCGAGGCAGCTCGCCGCAGCGGCGCTGTCCCGCACCACGTCGTGCCCGCACACGTAGGCGCGTCCGCTGGTGGGGGGCTGCTCCTGCGTCAGGATGGAGAGCGCGGAGCTCTTGCCCGCGCCGTTCGTGCCAAGGAAACCGAAGACCTCGCCGTGCATGACGCTGAAGGTGAGGTCGCTCACGGCCACCTTGTGGGGGGTGTCGTAGACCTTGCGAAGGTCCACCACACGAATCACATCCGCATTCACCTGCTCCGGCGCGGCGGCCGACTGTGGCTGATGATCTTCCGACACCATCGGCAGCCCCCTCCCGCCCCGTTCCTTTTTGCTCTTCTTCTTCGACTCCTTCGACGCTGAGGTGGGCGTGCGGGGCCGCTTGGCGGGGTGCCCTTCGGCCTGGGGGAGGCGCTCCTCGCTGTACACCGCGTTCCGCTCCTCCTCGACGTCGCTGTCCTCCTCTTCGAGGCACATATCGTCCCCGACGTACCACCGCAGCGGTGGGTAGATCATCTCCGCCGGCGGCGCCGCAAACGCGCTCGCCTGCAGCCGCATCGCTTCCGGATCCGAGCGGCGACGGAGGACGTTGCGCCGCGACGCCGCTGCTACTGTTGGTGTTGCGATTGGTGTTGTTCTGTTCATACTGTCTTCCGGAGTGTTGAAGAGGACGGTGGGGAGTCGAGTGAGCAGCGGGTGGACCGCCGACGACGGCGACCCAGACGACGCCGCCATCGATAGCTGGGGAGCGGCGGAGACGGACAGCACCAAGACGCTCTCCGGCCGGCTCGCCTCGGCCTTGCCACTGGTGTCCTCCGCGACGGCGCTACGCCCGCGCACCGAGAGGGAGTTGGCGCATTTATCCTCGCCGGACTGCCCAACGCCGGGGCTCGCCGACTTCAGAAATGCACCGGAGTCGAATACGACGAACGTGCTGGAGTGGCCCGCGTCCTCGTTCGCAGTGCTGACGTGGACGTTGTTGCTGCTGGTCTGCGCCCCTTGGGGCCGTGGCGGCGAAAACGGCGTGACAGCAGCGGACGCTCCAACACTGCCGCGGCGGTTGCCACGTCCACCGCAGGCCCCCGAGCTGCCCAAACTCGCACCACCAACACCACCCCCACTCGGACCCTTCGCCTCGTCCCGCTTACGCTGCTCTTCCTCCACACGGCGCGTCTCTTTCTGCTTCCTTCCGAGGCAACCGCCACCGCCGCAGCAGCAGTGGGAGCGGAGGTACGCCTGCACGCGCGTCAGCACCGCGCGACGGTTCGGGTGGTCCCACAGCAAGGTGATGGCGGCGAAGACGGGAATCTCAATCGCCATGTAGATGTCGGGCCACAGCGTGATGGACATACTCCACGCCGTGAGCGACGTGTCCGTCAGTCGCTTCTGCTCAAGCAGCGCGAGGTTCAGAATGACCTCGCCAAGGGAGTAGGGCGGGAGCAGCCGGAAGACCCACCGCAGCTTATCCGACGCGTCGAGTGTCTTCTCCAGCAGACTCAGCACAAAGACCAGCATCACACAGAGGAAACCGGTGAGGAAGCTGATGCCGAGCACCACCAGCTGCGCCGCCGTGTGCTCCGAGAAGAAGAAGCTGACCATGTAGGACATGCAGCAGTAGCAGACGCCGTAGAGGGCGAAGGCGACGATGGTGGGGCCGATGGTGGCGTAGCCGATGTACTCACTGCGTTGGAAGATGACGAAGATGATCATCACCAGAACGATGCACACGACGTAGGAGGTGAAGTCGAAGAGGAAGTTGCCGGCCCAGTAGACGAGGTAGTTTAGGCCCGACACGGTCTGCAGGTGACGCGCGCGCGTCTCGTACTCCTTCACGACCCACGCGACCGGGTTGGCGGGGAGGAAGGTAAAGGGAATGAGCACAATCACGCCGATAAGAATACCGGCGATGGCGTTGCGCCCCGTGGAGGACTGCTTGTTCTCCGGCAGCGAGGTGACACTCATCTCGAAGGTGGCGGAGGTGTTGCCGAGGCCGGTGTAGTACGCCATCGCGTACGCGGTGTGCAGCGAAATTGGAAGGCTGTTATGCGAGGATGTGTTGTACAGGAGGACCACAACGGTGCGGCCGCCGAGGGAGGCGCTGTGGGCGAGTTGCATGTAGCGCTGGAAAAGCGGGTTCGCGCACTGCAGGGCGACGTAGCGTCCATACTTGTGGGTGTGCCAGGTGTCAAGAAGCTCATTGGCCATGTCGCCCGCGGAGACGAAGTTGGGGTCCGTCACCTCCACGTTGAACTTGTCGGAAGCCACCGTGCTGAAGAGGGAGACGGGGCCGTAGTACTGCGCACAGCCGGACACCGGCATCATCGTCTTCTCCAGAAGGCCCCTGGGAGACAGCTGCACCGTCCCGTTGTTCTTGTCCTTCACCAGCTGCAGCAGCATCGCAAGCAGGATGCACAGGACGGGGCAGATAATCTGGAAGAAGAGCATGCGACGGTCACGAATGGCGCAGAAGACGCGCTTGTACATCATGCCCCGCAGCTGCAACGCCCACAGGTTGCCGCGGCGAGCCGTCGTGCGCGTGGCCCACACATGCGCGAGGTGGCGATCCGTCACGTGCTTGTACAGGAAGGCCTCGTTGCGCACCGCAGCTCCGTTCAGCCGGTTCGCCGGGCTCCGCGGATGCTGCGTCTCTTGCTCTCCTCCATTAGCCGGCTGCACTTTGGCCACCACCGTTGGCACCGGCGAGGCTCCATCGACGTTGCTGCCCTTGCTGCCGTGGGCGGATTCTGCGGCTGCAGCCCTCGTCCACTCCACCCGTTGAGATTCACTAGCCAGCGGAGATCGTCCTGTGGCGTTGGCTGCCCTGTTTGCTCTGTCTACGAAGACGGACGAGGCTTGCGCAGACGGCTCCGCGACCTTGCCACCGCCCCCGACCGTATTGCTGTTTGTGATGCTGAAACTGTTGCTGTTGTTATTCCCGCCCCTGTTGCCGTACAATGTGCCGGGACGAGCGACAAAGCCGCGCGCGTTGGGGTGGTCCGTACGCTTCACGAGAGCACTGAACGACATGACGGCGTCCATCGTGCAGCTGTCCGCGTCGTCGTCCTCCTCGCTCGGCTCCGCGTCGTCGCCGTAGTTGAGGAGGGTCTCGCCGTTGAAAAAGTGACGCGAGGCACGCGACATGCGCCGCTGCAGCGGGGGGGTGGCGAGGGAGGGGCTAATGAGCAGGCTGCCGTTGCCGCCGCCGCCACGGTTGTTTTTGTCCCCCGCTTCAACACCAGCACCAGCACCGCCAGTGCGAGACAACGCACCCTTCGAGTTGGGCGGTTGCTCAAATGGATCGCTGTTCGTCGTCGTGCGAGTGCGCTCCGCCGTCGTTGCAGGATCACCAATCTGCTGCGGCTGCCGCTGCCGAAGCGGCGACGATGACGAACTGGTCGATACTTGGTGTTCCACCACACGCATGAAGACGTCCTCCAGCGTCGGCGCCTTCAAGGCGTAGCCGCGGATGCCGATCTGACGGTTGCCACGCGACTCCATCTCCTTCAGAAATTCTGGTATGCAGGCCTCCGTCTGTTGGTGCATCTCGTACTCCACCTCCGCATCCGTCTGCAGGGCGAGCTTGGCGCCCACGAGGTGCCGCCTGACGACCGCGTCCAGCTGCGCCCACACCGCCGCCACCTTCGCCTGCCGCTCCTCGGGTGCGGAGTGGGTGGGGATGGGGGAGAGGTCGAAGTGAACGGTGTACCCGACCCCGGCGTAGCGGCGCAGAAACTGCGTGGTGCCGGCGCACTGCATGACGCCGTCGTTCACAATGGCCACGTTGTCGCCCAGTAGATCGGCTTCGTCCATGTAGTGCGTCGTCAGCATGATGGTGCGCTGCACAGCCATGACACGCAGCAGCGACCAGATGTGGCGCCGGGCGGCGGGGTCCATGCCGGTGGTGGGCTCGTCAAGGAGGACAACCCTGTTGCGGCCGACAAAGGCGATGGCGACGGACAGCTTACGCCGCTGCCCGCCCGACATGAGGGTCGGGATGGCATCGATCTTCTCCTCCAGGTCGACGGCACGGAGAATGTCCACCACCGCATCTTCCAAGTCGGCGCCGCGCAGTCCTTTGATCTTGCCGTAGAACTCAAGGTGCTCGCGACAGGTCAGGTCTGGCCAGAGGATGTTGTGTTGTGGGCAGTAGCCAATCTCGTGCCGCGCCAGCGTCGTGTCCTGCGTGACGGAGTGCCCCTCAATGAAGCAGTCTCCGCTATTGGGCGTGAGCATGCCAGTGACCACGTTGATCGTCGTTGACTTGCCCGCGCCGTTCGGGCCGAGCAGCACGGAGATCTCGCCACGGTACATGTTCCACGAGATGTCTTTCACTGCGGCAAACCTCTCGCCGTTGCGCACAAAGTACTTGGACACGCTATCGACCCGCACGCCGACGCTCTTCTCTGTCCCTGTGAGGGAGTCGCGGCTGACGGTGGGGTCGAAGGGGTTCGTGCGAGAGGAGGTGGTGGTCGTGGCCAGGCTGCCGGGACCCACCTTGTGCGGTCGCCGAGTCGGCGGCGCGGTGCCGTCGTTGCTGGGCGACAGACACTCGCCGCTGCGCTCGAGCACCTGCGCGTTCGACGTTGAGCTCGTGTTGCTGTTGGCGTGGTGCCCCTGGCCCTTCGTCGGCGCCGCCGTTCCTGCCCTTGCCGCTGCACAACGCTTCTTCTTCCAGCTTTTGTACGGCGCCGTGACGAAGAAGAGCGGATGCATGCGCGAGCCCCACTCCTGCGGCAGGACAAGATCCAGGTAGAACATGATCAGAAGGTAGAGCACCACGTCGCAGGCAACGATGATCATAACAAGGTAGGGCTTCACGGAGAAGTAAGGGTTGTGGAAGTCGTTAGGGTGGAAACCGCTGCCGGCCTCCGCGGCGAATACAAAGGTCAGCAGGGAAGCCAGACCGGTGGGGGAGAGGATGGAGAGCCCCAACACGGCATTTGCCCCGGCGGAACCCATGGCAAAGATCGGCATGGACAGGACAAAGTAAATCAGCGGGGACATGAGCGCTGCCATACGCGCCCTGCTGAAGAAGGTTGACAGCAAGCCGCTGAGGGGGATCAGCGTGCAGGAGTACAGCAGCAGGATGAGAAAGATCGTGAAGGAGCTGGAGCGGGTGGCGACGACGGCGCAGAGGAGAATCGTGAGCAGGATGCAGATGATCACGTACTCGAGGAAGGTCACGAGAAGGAAGTTGAGCCACAGGGAGGCGCGGTTCAGTCCCATGATGCACATCGACTCGCGTATGCGCAGCTCCTTCTCCAGGACAATCCGCTTCGTCATCTGCGAGAACGGGTAGAGGAAGGAGAGGACGACGATGAAGGCAACGAGGGAGGAGGCGAAGTTGAGGAGGTACGGGTTGCGGGAGTGAACCCAGGGAAAAGACGCGGCGAGGGTGTAGACGTTGTCGGTGCCGTACGCGGACAGCGTGCCAGCGGCGACGTTCGGCAGGCTGCCGCTGGCCACTTTCGTGGAGTAGAAGTAGTCGTACAGCACCTTCTGCAGCGAGAGGAAGCCGGAGGCGAAGTACATGTCCGTGCCGTCCGACAGGAAGCCGCTGCGGTACTCGACAGACACAGGTGGTTTCAAGGAGGGCAGGGCCGCACCGTGGAGGCGAATCTGCACATCAAAGCCGTCTTCGATGTCGTGGATGATGACGAGGCCCCAGATGGAGTCCAGTGACTGCTGCGTCGCCGAACTGCTTTTGACGGCGTGCTCTGCCTCCGCCACCGTTTCAAAGGTGCCGCCGTCGACGTAGTCGAACAGCGCGGACTGGGTGCGGATGTACTCCAGCAGCGCTTTCGGCACCTTCGCGGCCGGTGCGAAGTACAGCTTTCCAGAGTAGGAAATGGAGTCGTAACGAGTGGTGGCTGACACACCGAGGCCGACGCTCGATAACGCGGCGAGGGCAGTACGGGAGCGGGAGCTGGCGGCCAGACCGGCCTTCTTCGCCAGCCACTGGTGGAGAATGATGGAGTCGAGGGTGGGGATTGTGATGAGGCTGCCCATCATCGAGGGGACGTAGTACTGGATCACCTTGCGCAGGGAAAAAAAGTACGAGGAGTAGCACAGGCCATGGACGGGAATGCCGGACTCGTCGCCGTCACACAAGGAAGGCCAGCCCAGGTTGGCGCACGACACGAGGCCGTTGATGGGATGCGTCGAGTCGTTGTAGCAAAGGTAGGCTTGGTAGTCACGGGTGTCGATTTGATAGTTGATCTGTATCGGGTCGGCGGGGTTCACTTCATCGATTTTCTCCTTGCCAAACGCCGCATCAAGGATGATGAGCAACACAACGAAGAGGAGCGGGGAGACGATCTCCGCCACGAGTGTGATGATGTGACGCATGTACTGCCTGTAGGTTCGCTGCAGGAGCGCTAGGAGTTGCGTGTAGAGGGAGATGTGCACGCCACCCGTTTTGGTGATCATGCTGTACGGCTCTAACGATTCCGAGTCGACCTCAGACGAGTCCGATTCCGTCTCTGATGACAACACTTCGGCAGTCGTGAAGTCATTCGTAGTACCCCTTGCGCTGCGTGTGATATCGCCGTGGACGCCCGGCGTGGCTGCTGCCGCTGCGTCAGTGATGTTGGCATCCCGGCGGCGTCTTTCGCGCTGCGCAGGGGCATCGTCCGAGGTGTCGGCGAAGCGAACACGTTGACTGCTCCGCGCCGGCACAAGCCCGCTGCGCTGGAGTTCCTCTACATTCAGAAAGAGTCGCAGGCCGGAGAGTCCAGTGGCTGCTGCTGCTGGTTTTGCTGATGCTGCCGTGTTGAGGCGCGCGGTTGCCGGTCCAGACGGGGACTCGGTTGCATTGAGATCCACAGGGGAGGCGTCGTCGCGGTAGGGTTGGCGGTGTGGTGGGGCAGGAGAGGTCGCCGTCTCGGTGGAGTCATCGTCGCTGTTGTTGTTCTGCGGGGACCTGGTAGGAAACACGTAGGTGCGAAAATGGAGTTCAAAGGAGGGATCGGCGTCCGTGTCTTCCTCGTCTCCCGGCAAACTCGAACGGCGATACATTCCTCTTCTTTTTCTTTTTGTTCCACGGGGGCCTTACGTTGCTTTAGATTCTTCCTCTTACGTTCTTTTATTTGCTGTACCTCCGTTCGTTTGCTTGTGATAGCAACAGCGAAGAGATATGCAAGAGATGCCGCGGCAGTGTGAAAACAACAACAACAACAGCAACAACAGCAACAAAAGAAGTGGCGGCGCTGCAGCGAAAACGTGCTGAGGCGTATTGAGCGAGTTTCGTTCTTTCGTTCTTTTTTCAAAGAAAAAGAAGTGTTGTAGCGAAGGCGCTCGCTGAAGGAGAACGAAACAAAACTCACACGGAGAGACACACAAAAGGAGAAGAGAAATAAATAAATAAATAAAAGAGCAGCGTTGACCGTGGCTCCAGAACGTGTATAGCTGCGTGGTGCTCCAGGCTTAGGGAAAAGAAAATGGGAAGGTGTGTGCGCGCGTACACCGAGAAACAACAACAATGAAAAAAAGAAGAAGAAGAACGGAGAAGCAGGGGAGAGAAAGAAGGCTCCAGAAGGGAAAAAAAATTGACGGAGAGGGTTAACACAGCAATACGAAGAGGTCCCGACACACACACACGAACAAACACGAACAAATGGAAAAATAGTTAATAGAACGAAAAGCAATAGCCAGCACTTTCAAAACAACAACAACACTAACACCAATGAAAACACTTTCAAGTGTCCCGAGAAGAAAAGAGAGGTTCGAGCAACGACGAAGAGGAGAACAGACGACAAAAAAAAAGAAAAGCACGGCCGAAGGTCCACGCAAAGGTGAAAAGAAAGTCACGTTACAATGTTTCAAACACGCACGTGCATGAGGATCATCAAAGAAACAAAAAAGGAAAAGAAGAGAATTGAACAGCCCACAACTCACACACAGACACCACACATCCACACCCACACAAGCAATAAAGTTGACAGTCAACAGAGACTGCTATGAGGTTCCAGTAATGCTGAGACACCGCCTCTCACACGCCTTGCGGGTGGCTCTGCCAACGTCAGGGGAAGATGATGAAGCGCAAAGATCCAAGAATGAGAAAAAAAGAAAAAAATACAGCTAGAAGAAAAAGGAGAATGATGAAAGCGAACAGGTTGTGTGTGTTTTTGACTCTACGCCTCGAAACGCAATCATAAACGGGAACCAACAAACTAGGGGTATTGCAAGCGTAGGAGGCAGGCGTTTGATAACTCGTAATACGGGTTATTACAGTTATTGTTTTTAAAGTTTCTTTTTTTCGCTTCTCCGCTGATGAGCTTGTGTGTACAGCGTAAAACTAAATAAAATAGGAAAGAGGAAGGAAAAAGACGAAGAATGAAAAGGGAGATGCCTACGGGGAAGAGATAGAGAGAGAAGGAAAAGGAAGGCAACGGAGAACTGAAGAGCCAAGGAAACGAACAAACAAATCATACATGGCGAATTTTTTTGATTCCGTTGCAGTGCTCGGCTGCGGCAGCGTATAAAAAAGGGGAAAAACAAAAAACAGACTGAAGAAAGTACAAATCACCACCTCCACCACACGAATGTTTCGCGGTAGCCCAAGAAACAGAGGATGAGAACACGCTCCTTCCTCCCCTCAATTGGCCACAGGTTAAAGAGAAAAGAGACAATAATAATAATAACAGTAATAATAGTAGTAATAGTGATGTTGTGGAGGATACGTCTGTGAGAAGGTAATATATCGTGGAGTTTGCCGTACAAGCTCTGTGTCTCTGTATTGTGCTCGGTGTTTTCATTATTTAAATTCGCCTCAATAACAACACAAGAAACGGGGAGCTCTTCTACCAAAGAATGTCCTGTTGTTGTGCCTCAACAGTGCTTTCTCTTTCTAAGTCAGCGACATCAACACATTAAGGTCTATCGTAGCAAGGTGGGGCGTACACGACGATGACCGTTGTCGCATACGAAAAAGAAAAAATATAAGAATAGAGTGAGTGGGGGAGGGGGACAGCAGGCAGCATGAATGGGAAACGGCAAAGGCATTACCGCGTCACGCGCGCAGCCCACCGCACGGAACGGACTGGCAGAGACACGGTGAGCGAAAACAAAGCGAATGTACTCCTCTTAAAGAAGGAGAACAACAACAACAACAGCAACAGCAACATATTTGCCTTCTCCAGTTTCGCGTTCAGAGACGCAAAACGGTTTCGCCTTCTGGAAGTCGCGTACGGCACGTTGGAAATGATCACCAACAGCCATCTGATCCAGTTCGTATTATTCGTGCTATTATTACTATTACTGTTATTACTGCTCCTTTTCCTCATGCAAACTTCGTTTTCTCAAACGAACAAACAAACACAAACGAACAGAACTGATTCGTGCGTCGCGAAAACGACGATGCTGATTTGTCTGCTTTAAACGACACTCCACCTCTCCATCGCATCGAATAGAAAGGTGTGGCGCGAAGTGAAGCCCTTGGGAAGGAACAATACTAACAATAATCATAATGATGCTCGGCGATCAGCGCATTTAAACCAGCAGGCTATCCATCTTGACAGCAACAGCAGAAAAGAACACACACACACACACACACACACACTTGATTCGTCACGAACACTGCGCGAGCTACCACTCGGTGCGTGTGCCATTGAGCATGGAGATATAAATGTATATGAAGGAAAATGAAGAGAAAAAGAAGACCAGTGCGAGAGGGGCACACGATCCAGGGAAAAGATGCGATAACGAGAAGCAGAAAGGGAAAGCACAAGAAAGGCCACGATAGCGTATAGAACCTTCCTCTTAGATTCAAATAGAGCCCATCACGTTGGGAGGTACCACCACCACGTCACCACGACGTTTATCAGATTCGAATAGATGCTGCGGCGCAGGGTGAAATAAAGAGGTTGAATTCCGGTGCATGCGCAAAAAGGTCGCAGTTCATCAGTGGTACCGAGAAGGAGAGGCGAAAGGGGGGGGGGGAGGTAGTGGGGAACAGCATGAAAAACAAAAGACAAGTAGGAGGGAGACTATTGCACCGCCACCCCTGCGGTGTAGAGATCCCACCGCGCCTTGTACTCCCCATTCAGCGCCATCAGTTCGTCGTGGGTGCCCCGCTCCAGGATGCAGCCGCCATCCAGTACGATGATCTGATCGCAGTTGCGGATGGTGGTGAGACGGTGGGCAACGCTGATCACCGTCACCGCGTTCCCGCCGCGCCGACGAGCCTCGATGTACGCCGCAATACCGTCCTGCACCTTCGCCTCCGTCGTGTTGTCCAGCGCGCTCGTCGCCTCATCCAGCAGCAGCACCTGCGTCGTGCGACGCAGCAGTCCGCGCGCAATTGCGACGCGCTGCTTCTGCCCCCCCGACAGCGCACGGCCCTTGTACCCCACCTGCGTGTTGTAGCCCTCCGGCATCGCGAGGATGTCGTCGTGGATGCACGCCCATTTCGCGGCCTGCACCACCTCCTCCTCCGTCGCCGCCGCCGCCTCGCTATTGAGCACCGCATACACGATGTTCTCCCGCACCGTGCCGCTGAACAGGTCTGGTTCCTGCAGGACGATGCTCAGGTTGCGCCGCCACGCGCAGAGACTGAGCTGATCGATGGAGAAGCGGTGATTTATAAGGAGCTGTCCGCAGCGTGGGGCGTAGAAGCAGGCGAGGAGCTGGATGATGGTCGACTTCCCACACCCGGTCTCCCCCATCAAGCCGTTGCTCGAGCCGGCGTAGATGTCCAGGTCGACGGAGTTCAACACCACCTGGTTCGGACGAGCGGGGTAGACGAACTTCATGTGACGCAGCGTGATGTCGCACCCAGTGACGCCTTCCTGCGCCGTCATGGTGAGGTCCACGACGGCGTCCCGGGCCGGGTCCTCGATGTCGACGTCCGGGACGCGGTCCATGACGCTGAAGACGCGCCGCGATGCCTTGCGTGCGTCACCCATCTTCGCCGCAAAGCCACCGGCCTCGCCTGCCGATATCGCCCCCATCAACACCGACAGCGAGGCCACGTTCACCTTCTCGAAGTTCGCCTCCCCTTTCATGATCAGCTTGCCGCCGTACCAGTAGCAGAGGGCGAAGGAGCCGTAGTAGACGAACTGGGAGGCACCGTAGATGACACCGACGATGATGTTGCGCCGCACCGTGCGGGGCTGCTCTTGCTTTAGCAGGCGCTTGAAGGCGGCCGTGCGGTCGCGTCGCAGGTTGAAGGAGGTGACGGTGCGCACGTTCGACAACGCCTCCGTCACGACGGTGTCATCGCTGTCGCCCTCCTTCTGCTGATTCGCGCCGATCATCATCATCTGCTCCATGAGGGAGGCGATGATGACAAGCGGCAGGCAGGCCGTCGCGATCAGCGCTAGCTTCCACTGGTAGCAGAGACCGATAATAACGCCGACGCACACGGTGCAGGCGGTTTGGATGCGGATGCCGATGGCAGGTCCGCAGAGCTGATGTATGGCCTCGCAGTCGCCGGAGAGCATACCGGATAAGGTGCCGGCGTCGCGCCCGGGGGTGTCGAAGAAGGACATGTCCTGCCGGAGGATGCGCTGAAACAGCAGTGTGCGCAGCTTCGTGGTGAGCAGTTCCCCGGCGTAGCCGTAGAAGAACTGGAGGAGCCAGCCACCAAACGCACCGAACGCGACGACGGCGAACAGCGGTGCGTGCACGTTCATTTCATGATGCAGCGCGTCTTGGTCGCGTGTGATTTGGTAGGTCGCCACGGCGTACATCAGCTTTCCGAGGAGGATTGTGTTGATGGGCGCCACAGCACCGGCGATGAGCGAGCCGAGGAGACCGAGGAGGAGCGCCCAGATGTGACCGCGGTTCATCTTCAGCAGCCGCCACGGCGCGACGTCCGTGCGGGACACCTCCCAGTCTGCCAGCTGCTCAATTGGTACCTTCTGCCGCTCCGTCCGCGGGACTTCTGCCTCCAGCTTTGCCAACTGCTCCGCATCCAGGAACTGGTTCAACCGGTCTTCACCGCGCTCCTCGCTTCTTTCTGCCGCTGTTGCTGCTGCATTTGATGACGTAGGCGTGGCTGTCGTGCCCCCTTGGCCGTTCTTCACCTCTGAAGCCGTGCCTTTCCCTTCTCCCGCCGCCTCGTGGACACCGCCTTGCGATTTGGCCATCGCAGCGAACATTCCGTTGTGCTGCATCAGCGCGTCGTAGGTGCCCTGCTCCGTGATGCAGCTGCCGTGCACGCCGTCGTAGGACACGTAGTAGATGCAATCTACGTTGCGGATCGTGGCGAGGCGATGCGCAATGACGACGATGGTCATATTGCTCTCCTGCATGAGTTGGTTCAGTGCCGCCTGCACCTCTACCTCGGACTTGCGGTCGAGCGCGCTTGTCGCCTCATCCAATAGCAGCACCGCCGGTCGCTTGATGAGTGCACGCGCAATCGCAATGCGCTGCTTCTGCCCACCAGACAGCTGCGACCCGACCGCACCAACGGAGGTGTCGTACTGATCTGGGAGCGCCATGATCGTGTCGTGGATGTTCGCCTGCTTGCACGCGGCAACCACCTCGGCGAAGGTGGCGCCGGGCTTGCCGACGCGCACGTTCTCCGCCATCGTGCCCGCAAACAGGTTCGGCTCCTGCGAGACAATCCCGATCTGATCGCGCCACTGGAAGAGGTCGAGCTCCCGCATGTCTACCTCATCCACTAAGACCGCGCCGGCCGCGGGGTCGTAAAAGCGTTGAATCAAACCGATGATGGAGGACTTGCCGCAGCCGGACGCGCCGGAGAAGGCCACCTTCTGGCCGCGGCGAATGGTGAGGTTGAGGTCGGTGAAGAGGACCTGGTCGGGCCGGGTGGGGTAGGAGAAGCGCACATGCTCGAATCGAAGGTCTGATACAAAGGCGGTCACCGGCAGACCGCCAGCGTCGATGTCGATAGCAGGGACACGGGCGATGGTGGTGAAGAGGACGTGGGCGGCGGCACGCGCCTCCGCGAAGGCCGTGAGACTGGGAAAGAAGAACCCAATGCCGATGCTGCCGAAGAGGACGGACAGGAAGGTGGCCACGATGTCGCCGATGGTGGAGCGGCCCCAGATGATGATGTACTGGGAGAAGAAGAAGACCACCATGTAGGTGAGGATAACGAGGCCCATCGTCGTGCCCACCGAGAGTGAGTTCACAAACTCGCGCTTCATGCCGGGCTTCTCGGACAGACGGACGGCGGCGCGGAAGCGCTCTACCTCGTGCTCCTCTTGCCCGAAGAGCTGAACAGTGCGCACGTTCTCGATCACCTCCGTCGCGATGGAGCCGGCGGTGGCGAACTGCTTGCGGGACTCCGACGACGCCTTCGCCAAGACGTTGCCCAGCAGCGCCCCAGCGAGCGCCACGAAGGGCATCATCCCCAGCATCACAAGCGTCACCTCCCAGCAAAACACAAAGCCAAAGGCGAAACCGAAGACACCGCTGAAGAGGTTCAGAGCTCCTTGGGAGAAGCGGTCGTTGATGCCGTTCTGCACGATGCGGGTGTCGCCCGTCATGCGGGCCGTCAGCTCGCCGGGCTTGTGGGCGTCGTGCCAGCCCATGTCCTGCCGCAGCACCGCCGAGAAGTAGCTGGCGCGGATGCGGGACACCTGCCGCACCGCCGCGACGCACCAGCACGCGACGTGCACCATGCAGGCGATGGAAACAGCGATGCCGATATACACCATAATCAACGCGGACTGCGCGGCGGACGTCTCCGGACTGGTGGAGAGCAGGTCGTTTACCAGACGGCCCAAGGCGAAGGAGAAGGCCGGCATGCCGCCGCCAGCGACCATCGCGGCGACGAGGCCGACTGCCATCAGGAGCAGGTCCTTGCGATCGGCAAAATGAAAGATCTCCAGAACGGACACTCGCTGGGCGGCATCCTTCTCGCTGTCGAGGCTGGTGGAGGAAGGAAGAGAGTCATCCTTTTCGCTACCGTTATTCTCGTCCGCTGCCTTCCTTGCTAAGACGAGTGCGGGGTCATGCGTCGGCTCATTTGCCGCCCGATCAGCCTTGTTCGTCTCTCCTCGCGTCATCCGCGTGCACGGCAGTAGGCTCTTCTTCACGTCTCGTCTTGCGGTACCATAATAACAGGTCGATTTGTATCTCTCTCCCTGCGTCACCTCCACACCTGTGTACGCGTACGCGTGCGGGAAGGAGAAAGACACCAAACGCGTATATATATTTTTGTTTTCCTTTTCTACTCGGCGCGCTTTTGCTTGTAGAGGACGGAACACACGGCAGCAGAGGCGGAAAATAAGAATAATTAAAAGCACTATGGATTACTATATATATCAGATGCAATGGAAGACACTTGGGGTGCAACAGCAAAGTCGTTGAAAGTGGTTTAATAGGTAGGAGGGGTGAATGAATGGGGAGGCGGGGGGAGAGGGGGGTTCAGCAATTCGTAAAGCAACATTGAAGAATGGAAGCAGAGGACGTTGTCTTGTTGGAGTTATCGTACACGTGACTCCTCCAACGGTGTCGGTAGTTTGTGTATATATATGTTTACACTGTTCGGTTAATATTGAAAGCAACAGCAGCAGAGAGTTGCATGCTCCTCTCAGCAGGGCGGCGTTGGCTTCCCGGTATTTGCGTAATGAGTGACTGGAGAAAAAAAAGAAACACTAAGTTGAAAGCAACGCCCTTGAAGGAAGCACAGAGGTTTACGAAAGAACAAGAATAGATGGAGCGAGGTAGATGCTGTGGAGTTCACGTTGTGCCACTAATCGGAAATATATATATATAATAGAAATACATAGGTAAGTAGATATGCAGATCCACGTTTATTGTAGGCACACAGCAGAAGGAGAAGAAAACAAAAGGAGAGAGGGATACGTAAAAGAAACAGAGGTAGGGAGAGCGGGGATCCGAAAAACCAAAAGCCGGATGAAAACAACATGAACCACTTTAGGTTAGCCTCTCTTTCCTTCGGTATCACGCGTCACTTCCCGCGCGCCTTCGTCAAGTTGGTTTGAATGGGCGTTCACAGCGCACCCCCCGAAAAAGCTATGCAAGAGAAACACGTCGATTCCTCACGCCGTTCTCACCATCTTACACCTTGGGAGGGAGAAGAGGGCGTCAATAGCGCGAAGGCGTACACTTCCACACTGCACAGGACAAGCCTTTTGTTTACAGCTCCTGAGGTCGCATTTCGAGTTCTTTCCCATCGAAAAGGATGGCTCGACTTGAAGTCAGCTTCATCGTCGCTTCCGCTAGGGGTTTCCTTTAGCCAAGATAATAGTGATAATATATCGTTTTGAGGGTTCTACAAATATGGCCAACATTAACGTGTACACACAAACACACACACACCAACGTTCACGAGCAAGACAACAGCTTATGCGAAACAAACAAACAAACAAGGCGGAGGAGGAGGAGATTCAGCGTGCCTCACTACTCGTCCAAAGAAAAACAGTCGGTGGCAGATACACAGACGTGTGCGCGTGTGACAGGGAGAAGCGCAAACAAACAAAAAACAGACCATAACAACAGCAAACAATCAAACGAAGCAAAAACAGGAGGGTCTTCTTTCAGTTCAACGAGGTGCCTCTCTCCTTCTTCTCGGGTTGGCAAAATAAAAAAAGGCGATAACACGAAGTTTTAGAAAAAAAATACAGAAGAAAGCTGAGGACAGCCACGGCCGCCTCACAACACGCAAACAGACGGATGTGTCGATCCGCATCAGCAACAACAACAATCACAGCAGAGAAAGAAGTTGAAGTACGTACGCGAGCAAAAGGAAGGTTGTTATATATTGAAAGAAAAGAAACAACAACAACAAATCCAAAAAAGAACACACACACACAAGCGAGATAATTCTGTGCTCACTGTTCACATAGCAACCAGCGAAAGCGTGGTTTATGCCGCGCAGAGGCCCAACGCCTCTCCTCCCTTTATCCTCATCTTTAAACTGGGGTTCGACGACAGTTATTGGAGCAATGACGCAACAACAGAGACAAACGCAAAGGAAAACAGAACAAAACCCAAAACGGAAGGATGCTCAGTAGGGGAGGAGGAGAGGGAGGCGTATATACTATTCCCTACAAGAAAGTGTAGATCTCTCAGCCAGAGGAACGACGCGTTGAGAGAAATTCCCACTCCTTTCTTTCTTCGTTCACCGCTGCCTCCGGTGAGTGAAGGCCGACTTCCAAAGCAGCAAAACAAAAACAATCAAGAAGAGCAACAGAGATGCAATCGTTGGTGAGTCGGTAATCGAAAAGAGCCCCTTAAAACGTGATTCCAAAGCAAAAAGCGAAACTCCAGCGACACTTTCATCTCTTTATTGCAGTGAACAGTAGTAATAATAAAAAGGAAGGAGGTGGATGCCATGCAGCGTGTCTTGGTTCGTCGAAGGTGGTTGTGGCGTGTTGACCGGACGTGGATTTTTCTAAAAGGAGAACGTTAGGAAGGTATATATATATATATATATATATGTATGTGTATGTACAACAAAAGGTCTCTGGCAGAGAACACCGCAACGACTGTGCTCCCCTACCACCGCAGAAAGAAGTGTATCAATGAGCCACTGCCAGGAGGAAAGAAAGCGATTTCGAAAGAGGCGTCACCACCACACGAGCCGGAAAGGCTTACCTGTTCTAAAATTTGGAGCTGGAGGGATAACATGGGAAATTCATTCCACAGCTACACAGCCACACAGCCCCACACAAACAAAAAAAGAGAAGTAATTCACCTCTTACACACACGCCCAAATACCAAACGCGAACACGCTGGCAAGAGACAAACCACAGAAGAATAAAAAGACGCGGTCTGGCCCGTTCAGTTGAAGAGATCCGCAAACGGATCTTTCTTCGACGGTGCTGGGGCTGCCGGCTTCGCCACCGGCTCCGCGGGCTGCGACGGCGGCTGCTGGCCAGGCGCAGGCGCCATAAAGTTCATCGACTGCTGCGATGGACCAGACGAATACGGCTGCTGCGGGTGCTGTTGCTGCTGCAAGGGGTAGCCCGCCCCCATTTGGTAACCCGGAGAACTCTGCTGCTGCTGCTGCTGCTGCTGCACCGGGGACGTGGCGTACATGTTGTCTCCGTAGGACCCCATGTGCTGCTGCGGAGGGGCGTAGCCGCCACCCATCGTTGGCGCCCCTGTGCCCCAGCCGGCCATCCCTGGCATCTGCGGCTGCTGCGGCTGGCCGTAGGCGCCACCCATCGAATACCCCTGCTGCTGCTGCTGCCGGGGTGGTGCGCTGAAGAGGTCATCGGTGCTGAACACGTCCTTCTTGGGTGCATCCTGCTGGGGTGCGCCCTGCGCCACCGGGCTGGGGTTGAAGGGCGAGGCGACGACCGGCGACGTCTGCGGCGGGGAGGCCGGGGCAGGCCCGGCGAACAAGTCATCGAAGACGTCCTTCTTCGCCGACTCCGACGCACCCGTCGGGGACTCCGCCTGAGAGTTCTTCGGCTGACTCGGCGCTGGGGCAGCGGGGGAGGCGGGCAGGCCGGCGGCCCTCTTCGCCAGCTCCCACGCTTCCTCCTGCTCGCGGATGATCTGCTGGCGGTACGCAGCCATCTCCGGTGTGTCGTCGGCCGGGTCGCCGCCCAACACCATCATCGCGTCCTGCACCGCATCGCCCGCTCCGCCCATCGAGGCCGGCGCATCGCGCTCATCCACCGGCGGCGGGCTGCTGCTGTTGTAGCCGGCACTGCCGCCCATGCGCGGCTTGCGCGGGCTGCCGCTGTTCTCGAGCTGCTCGTGACCCGGCTCGTTGTACGAGATGGGCGGGGCCTTGAGCGGCGCTGCCCGGCCGAGCACCCTCACATCCTGCTCCTCCCACCCCTCCGGCCACTCGGTCTTGCTGAAGCAGAAGGTGCCGAGGTGGCGGCTGACGTCCTCGTCGAAACGCAGAAAGTTGGTGAGGGCAAAGATGTCCCAGCGGGAGTCGGGGTTGGAGTCGAGCAGGTGCTCCACCATCACCCGCAGCGAGCCGGAGTAGGAACCCATGGTCTGCGGGGGAAAGCGCACCTCCCAGTTCTCCTGCCCAATCGCCGTGCTCGGGTCAAAGGGGAGGCGCAGGTACATCATGTAGTAGAGCAGCACCCCGATCGCCCACATGTCCGTCTTCTCACAAATGCGCTGCTTGCTCCACGGGTCGGCCATCTCAGGGGCGCGGAAGGCCGGGTTCGTGTGCAGCTGGATATCTGCAATGGCCATGGACGCTTCCTCGCGCGTCTCGCAGTGGTACGCCTCAGTGGTGGAGTTGCCGAAGTTCGTCAGCTTGTAGCTCAGCGGACCGGTGTTCTTGTTGTTGATGAGGATGTTCTCCGGGCGGATGTCGCGGTGGGTGATGGGGGGCTGCTGGGTGTGCAGGTAACCCACAGCGCTCGTCACGGCGAGCATGACGTGGCAGATCTCGCCCTCCGTAAGACGGGTCCCGGCACCGGCACCGGCACTGCTGCGGATGCGGCGGTACAAGTTGTTGGAGCAGTACTCCATGCAAATACTCACACCGAGCTTGCCCTCGTTGCGCGAGATTTCACTGTGGTAGACGCGGACGATGTTCTTGTCCTTGATGCGCGAGACGATGTCCACCTCTTTGTGTGCCTCCGCCACCTGGTCCACGCCGAAGAAGCAGCGCTTGAGGGCCAGGTGACGCGGAAACTCGGGCAGACGGCTCGTGTTCTCCACGAGGTACACGTAGGAGCTGCCCCCCTCCCCGTACTTCAGTTTTCGCTGGCGGCCCACCATGTACGGCGGCGGTACGTCGCTAATCTTCTGGAGTACACGGAAGGGGCGACCCATGACGATGATAGACTCCGTGCCGTCGCCATGGTACTGCTGGACCTTGTTCTTCGAGGAGAAGCCTTTGTCCTTGTGCGAACCGCCGGTTATGTTGCCGATCCCGCCGAGGAAACTCATTGTTGCGTGAGTGTTTGTGTTTGTGCGCTTGTATGTGGGTTTGGTGATCGTGGTAGTACCGGTGTAGAACCTAATACTGCTGCGATAGGGAGAGCGCGTATGAGGGCGGGAGGGGAGGGGGGGGGGGAGGAGGGCAAATGAGAAGAAGAATGAGAGGAGAGCGCGGCCTGAGGAAAAGATAGATGACCAGCCTGCGTGGTTGAGGCCCAACGCAGTTGCAGGTAGATCTGTCGCACAAGACACACACACACACACACACACACACACATGATTCTGACTTTGAAGTCGCCGTAGAGCGAGGCTTTTCACGCGAAAGCAACCCCCTTCACTTTCAATGGAAATCCTTCCCTGTTTCTTCGATGGGTGCATATTGCCGACACGCACCTGCTCTTGTTTGCATTCGGTTAATTTCATGAACCTTTCCACCAGCGAACGCCGAACCATCGCCCGGTCTTTGTATACCTTCTGGTGTGCGCGCAGCAACGTTAGATGTGCCACGCTCACAGACGAACAAAAGCCGACCCCACCACCCCCAAAGAGTGCAGATGGCTTCTCGCCTCCAACGCATGAGAGATCCACCACCACTCCTGGCTGCTCTTCCCTCCTTCCTGGCTCCCGCACATCCCCGGAAGTTCAAGCGGCGGCAGACAAGGGAATCACCGTGCCTACAAGAGCATGGGGGAGGCTAATACCGACCCGATACGCGACTGGGTCTCGCTGGTGCCTCTTCCTCATCCACCACTTCTTCTTCGTTGTCCTCACCACCGTAGCGGGGTGGTGGTGGCAGCGGGGGAGTCGAGGGACCGCCGCGGCGTGACGGCACCGACGTCGGTGCGTACGGCAGCTGCATCGATGCGGCTGCGGGGACAGGGATCGCAAATGGGGCGCGCCGCATCGATGGCCGACCGCGAGGTACTACTTCCTCCTCGTCTCCCCCCGACTCGCCGCCGCCGCCGCCACTACGAGAGGGCGGCGGCGCCGTCCCGCGCACACCGGCAGGAGCGGAGGTCGTCATCGCTTCTCCAACTGGGGTACGACCAGACGAGGAGGCGTACCCGGTGACGATGGTGCCCGCACTGGCCCGGCCGGAGGGGCTGCGCGTGTCCCTGCCATCTGCACCGCCGGCGGAGTGGCCGAGGTACACGTGCGGTGGGGGCAGCGCAGCAGCAGCCACAGCAGCGGTGGCCTCTGCTGTGTAGTTCGTAGCGCCGTTACCGCCTTGGGCAACACCGCCATATACGCCTGTTGTGGAGTAGTACCCCCCTCCGCCACCACTGCCACCACCGCTTATCCCGGCTGCTGCGGATCGCACCGTTGCACCGGGCATGTAATACGGCGCCGCGCTGCGTGGGTTAAAGCCGGCGAAGTCGGTGCTACTACCGCCGGTACTCATGGACGTGGGCTTGTACGAAGCACGCAAAAGGGCCTCTGCTGCGTTGAGCTCCTCTACGTCTTCGGCCGTGCCGATGTCCAGTCGCGTGCCGTGCCGCTTCAGCATGATTTCGGCTTTCTTTGATGTCTAATCACACACACATATATATATGCAGTGTATATGTGGTGCTGTAGTACAACAGAGCCGATCTAACACGAGATTTCTATATGTGGATGAGATGGGGCTAACACAACAACGATAGTATTAATACGTCCACGTTTGGAATAATGGATCTGAAGCCCGTCTTTGCCTGCCCCGTTGCTGGAAAGGGACGAGACATCAAGAGAGGAAGAAGAGAGGATGTGAGGGCCGTTTCAGCGTCGGAGACACAGAGAACGAGCACCAGTAATGCCGACCGCAGCTGAAGTAGGATAAACAGAAGACCGCTTGCACACACAGGCAACATACACAAAGGTGTACCTGTACGCACTTCTACGAAGCCGATCTCGCCTGCATTTAAAAACCCCTCCCAACCGCCATAATGCAAAAAGAAAGGCATCGTATTTGCGTCGTGCGGTCCCGGGGAGGCGGCTGCGTGACTGCCACGCGCATCTGACGCTTGCAATCCGGTTCGTCTGGTGTGGGATGCGGAAGAAAACAAAAAATAATGTGTGTGTGTGTGAACGCAGCTACCATCCTCATCCCGCCATTCAAATAAACCGCACGACACGGCTAAAAGTAACAACACCAGCAAAAGCACCGATAACAACATTCACACAGAACGAAGAGAGTTTACAAGTTTTTTTCCCTCAACAACTCAAACGTTCTCGCGTCGTCACCGATGCTTCTCTGCCCGGCATTTGTCTTCCTTCGTCGGCTCGAAGCTCTTGCGAAACACCACAGCACAGCAACAGTCACAGCGACAATAACGATGTACCACCAGATGGCACAGAAGACACTGCTTCATTTGAATCCGCAAAAAAGATAATATATTTTCCAACTCTTTTCCGCCTCGGATCGCACCTCCGCCCTCAACGTCGGCTTCATCGTCTGCATCCTCGCCAGCAGCAGACACCCCCCTCTTTTCAAAAGTGGTCCTTCTCAAATGCCTTGTCGGCGGCTTCGTGGGCGGAGGCCATTCCAGGACCAGATGCCGCCGCCGACGCAGCCGCTGCAGCCGCGTTGCCACCTGGACGCAACGTCGTGCGAGCGCCGCCGCCGCTGGAGCTCAGCGATGACTGCTGCAGCACCGACGCGTGCAAAATCCGCGGCGTCGTTGCGGAAGGCCCGAGACGAGGCCAGCGCCCATCAGCGGCGTTGTCCTCCGCACGACTGCCACTCAAATCCACGCTCGCCGTGACCTCTGTGTGGATCGGCTGCTGGGCCAAGTAGCGACTCTCCAACGTGCTGCCGCCGTACGAGAAGGTCTCCTCGACGAAGCGACTCTCCGGGCCGGCGTAGGCGAACTGGAAGCCCTCGTCGCGGGCGAGCAGCGCGTGGGCCCGCTGCCGCTCCGGCAACCACGCGACTCGCACGTTCGCGTTTGTCAGCGAGGGGCGGGACTTGCGCAGGTACGTGAGCGGGGCCTCCTCGCGCGCCTGATGCGCCGGACTCAGCAGCTCCACCCACTGCGCGGCGCGCTGGACGTAGGCGGGACGGTCCTTCGCCATGAGGTCTTTCGCGCTGCGGCGGAAGCGCGCAAGTCGTAGAACGGCGATGGGGTCGATGTCCGGAAACGCAGACCGCAGCCAGGCCACCGCAGCGGTGGCGTCAACGTCTGCCTTTGTTGTGGCGGGGTCCGCCAGGGACCAGCCCGGCCGCCTCACCGCATCGCCGCCCTCCTCCTTCATCGTCTCCGCATAGCGGGCGTAGAGGGCGGCGACCACCTGCGGCGCAACCGCAGCGGCGTTTTGCGCCAGCGCCATGCCCTCCCACGCCCCCGACCTCGCATGGACCGTCTTGCCCTCCTGCAGTGCCTGCTGCATGACGTGCCCGAGGCGGACGTAGAGGTCGCAATCGAGCAGCTGCGCTTCGGCGAGGTAGCTGTAAATTACGCGCGCCTCCTCGCCGGCGTTGTGATCCAGCAGGTACTCCAGCGCCAGACTCGCAATGCGGTAGCGCCAGATCGGGTCCACCTCCGCCCGCACCACGACGTTCTCGTAGTGCCTGCCCACCATTACGTTGTATACCCACATCACTCGCACCCGGTGCTTCGCCCGCATCGCGCAGCGGAGGAGGTTGTAGAGGACCTCGCCGTCCCGCGCCGCGTAAAAGAGCCGGGTGTTGCCGTCCTCAAAGATGGCGATGGCGTCGGCCAGCTTCGCGCCGGGCACACAGGCGGCGGTCAGCGCGCGGTACACCTCCACAGGCGGCACCGACGTCGTCTTGCGGTACTCCTCGCAGGCGAGCTTCAGTTGGCCCCGACGCGCCAGCCGGACGATGCGCTGCATCAGCGGCACCTCATGCACGGCTACCGCGAGCTGGCCGTCGCGCTGCACTCGGGTCGAGCGGCGGAAGTAGTGGTCCTCCTGAAAGAAGGGACCGCGACGCAGCCAGCGGTAGATGCGGCCGCGGCAGTCCAGCGTCGCCGCGTTCAGCCCCACCCGATTTGGGTCCTCCACCGTGATGTTGTCGTGGTCGACCGTCGCCGGCTTCTGCAGACGGCCCACATACGGGTCATAGGAGTGAAGGAGGTCGTGCGTCACGCGGTGCCCGTTGCGCGCACTCATCAGCGACACCGGCGTCACCAGCGCCTTGGGACCGAGCGAGATGTCTGGCATGAACTTCTCTAGCTCGTGCTTGGGAATCATGTTGATCGTGTTGTCCTCGAGGCTGTGTGTCTTTTCCGTGCTGTAGCCGCTGTTGTAGTTGCCGGGACCGGTCCGGTAGCGTCCAAGACCCCAGAGACGCGCCAGGTCGTCCTCTGCTAAGTTTTCGCGACCGAAGCGGCTGGGTTGCCACGGCACACGCGCGCGAGGGACGTAGCGGAGGACGGAGGTGGCGGAGACGTGGCCGGTGCCGCGGCCTTTAGTGAAGACGCCGGTGACAGACATCCTACAAGTGAAGCAGAAAAGAAAACAACGAAGAAGGAGAAGTTGTACTGCTCAAATGCTACGTATTCAAGTAAAGGAAGGTTACCTGTTTGAGAAATAGATAGATTACCGCAACGCTCCTCGCTGCAGAAGTAGAAGTCGTCCCGCCACCAACGCCGTTGTGTGTGTGCGTGTGTTTGTGAAAGCGTGGAGACGCGTGGCCGTAATATATAATTTTTCTTGTTCTTGAGCATCCAGCCGAGAAGGAGAAATTACGCGTACAGGCGAGTGAGAGAGCGGAGAGAAAGACAGCGAAGCTGCAAAGACCGGAAAAAAAACACGCTCAGCGGAGTTCAGTGTGACGCCAGGTAAAGCGGGCTATGCGCTTTCTGTGTTCTTTCTTAAGGGGAGTCCACAGCGGCGGATCAGCACAGAAAAATGCGAGTCCGCATGGATGTTGCCCACCAGCAAGATGCGCGTTCCAGAAACCACGAGAACACACGCACACACACAGGAAACGCATCCACGCTCGCGAGGACACGCCCAGTGGTGATTTGCTTTCCCCTCCCTTCCTCTCCATTCTCTGCGCAAATGAATTCGACTTCTGTAACGTCCTCAGATGAGAAAAATAATACCTGCATTCGTCTTTCCCAAACAGCTGAACAGAACGGCAACGGGAAGAACAGCACGAACGATCGAAGAAAAAAAAAGAACGACGGAGAAGGTGAAAGGTAAGACACACAGACACACACACACACGCGAAACAAGAGGAGAACTTAGTCCTCCTCTTCGGCCTGGAAGCGGGCAAAGAAGGCCTGCTGCGATGGTACCGCCCCATACAAATGGTCACCGTAGGCGTTCTCGCCCGCTGCTGCTGCTGTGCTCGTCGCACGTCGTGTGGCGGACGGCGCAAAAGCGGACGCGTTAGGCACTCGCTGGCGGTCCGCCGCCTTCTGCCGCTCCCGCTGCACCGCGGAGGTGCTTACGTCCTCGTCCGCCGCTCCGACGTTCTGCAGCTGCGCTTCAAAATTACGCGCGATGCTGTCGTTGCTGACATCGCCCGTCACACCCGCACTCGTCGCGGCAGTGGCGTTGTTGCGCGCGACAGTGGAGTTGCGCTCCTCGTCGTGCGCCGCGAAGCCGTTGAAGTAGGTGTTGTGCAGATCGGCCTCCTCCTTGGCCACCGCGGCACGAAGGGAGAGTGGACTCGGCTGGGTCGCCGCCAACGCTGCAGTACCATGTCCATCCGCACCAGCACCACCACCATTACTATTGCTGTTCTGTATCTTCGACGGGGGTGCGGAGGACAATGGTACGAGCTCCATCGTAGGGGGCGCTACAGCAGCCGGCCCGTGCGTCTGTTCCGTCAGTAGCACCTTCTGCACTTGTCCGCGATGATGCCGGCTTGTCGCCGAGGGCGCGGCGTCGGCGGCCGGCTGCGCGTTCGTGGCCGTCTCGCGTACATGGGCGCTGCTCATGTAGGCGTCGTAAGTCAGCTGGTAGGGCAAAGTGCTTGTGTTTCTCTGCCACGTGGCAGACGTGACGCCCGTTTTGGAAGAGGAGTTGGCACTGATGCTGCTGCTGGCGGCGGCGGCAGAGCGAAAGAAGTAGCGGGTAGGGTAGCCAAATGTTCCGTAGAGGTCGCGCCACTGCAGGGCGTAGAGAGAGTGGCGAAGTTGGTCGATTGGGGTCTGATCCAAGAAGTACACGTCCTCCTCTAAAAAAGGGACGTCGGCGCTCGCAGCTGCCTCTGCCTCGTCGGTGACACGATTTGCCGTGTCGCCGCTCTGCAGCACCTCGTGACGCTTCGAAGTGCTCTGCGCCACGGCATTCGCCATGCGCGTTCGCGACGCGGCCGGGACGTCCACCACCGCCCCCAGGAGAACCCCAACCGTCTGCGTGGCGACGTCGAGCACGGCGGCCGCGGAGGCCTCGACGGCGACATCCACCCCGGACAGACACTGCGCGGCCATCGTACGCACACTATCGCTGACGCCGTCCTCTTCAGCATCTTCTGCACTGGCAAGGCTCCGAATGTGCGACAACAGATTTGCGTAATACACGGCGTGAGTCCAGTGGGCGCCATCCACGCGCACCGTGGAGAAGAGCGACGACCACGAAGTTGGCCTGCGACCACCATCGTTGGTGCTGTTGCCCTTCATCTTCGCAGGGTCATCGACGGTGCCCTCGACTGCGGTATTCGCATCATTGTCTACATTAGCCGGAGATGCAGCAAGTGCAGCGGCTGTTGTAGTCTCTGCCGCGCCGAGCACCTTCAGGGCCGCCTTCACCGCTGCCTCAAACAGCTGCACCCGCTGCGTGGCCGATGTGGTGCCGCTCTCCAACATCTGCGGCACCACACGCGGCATAAAACGAGGCGAGCAGAGCAGCAGCGCCTGCGCGACTCGATGGGCCGCCGCCTCCTCGTCTGACGGGGGCTGCAGCAGCGGCGAGCTCAGCGGGAGCTCCTCAAAGACGCCCGCCATGACTCGGCTCGCGTCGTCGATCTGGACCGTGTTGACGGCGGTAACGAGGGCGCTGCAGCGCATCAGCAGCCACCACCACCGCTGCAGATCCGCGAGTCGGTTTCTCGTCCGCGCGTCACGCACACCATCGCCGCTGCCGCTGCCGCGACGGGCAGAACCCGCAGGTGTAGAGGAAGCGGCCATGGCCGCTGAAGCAGCCGCGGCAGCCCGGCGCACCTCCTGGCCCATCACCTTCATCACACAACCCAGCGGCAGCCGCGCGAGAGCCTCTGCCACCGCCCAATTCCCTCGCATCACACTCATCGGCGTTCCGTCTTGACCGGCGACACTCACGGAACTGCCGTTGCCGTTGATGCCGCTGCTGTGTTCCAGCACCGTCGCCAGGTGTCGCAGCGTCTGTCGCAGCGAGTCGGTCAGCATGCCGGCCGCGGAGACGAGCTGCTGCATACCGCGGCTGGCAGCCAGCGCCTCGACGGCCAGCGTCGCCAGCCGGATCGGATCGGTGAAGTTGACGTCGAGGACGTTGCCGACGTGCGTCACGCCGGCGCCCACCAGACGCGCCAAGTTGGCACCGATGAGGGGCGTCATGCTCTGTACTGCTGCTTTACCGCCGCTATGACTACTATTCGACGAGGAAAACTGGTAGGCTAGGTCCTCCACACCAGGGGCATAGGCGTGTTGCAGCCACGCCATCTGACGCGGCCACTCACGTGCACGCTGCCGCGCCGCCTCCGCGGAATTGGCGCTCTTGAGAAACTTCTTAAACCACTTCACCTTCCCTGCTGGAGACTGCGAGGACACGGTGGCGTCGGCGTAATACGAAAAAGGGCCGTGCTGCAGCTGCAGGTGCCGCAGGAGGCGGCTGCGTGCCAGCAGACCTGGGTAGGAGCCGTACTGCAAGTATAACTCACACGGTGCTGACGGTGGTGACGATGAGGACGTAGTCGTCGTCGCAGTAGTGGTAGTAGTAGCTGCTCGTGGTACGATTTGAAGCGGAGAGCAGTGCAAGAGGGAGGAGCACACCTGCACCGCAGCGCCGGTACGGTGGAGCACGTAAAGGGCACGGCCACGCTGCAGCAGCAAGATCGGGTTGGCTGCCGCTGCCGACGTGCGCGTGGACGCCTTATTCATCTCCTCTCCTGCCCCCTCGTCATTATCCCCCTCCACGGGCCAGGCAGGCGGCCAGACCCACTCTGCAAGGGGGACGGAGGCGTACGTGGAGGTGGGATACGCCACCGTGTCCACCCAGGCCCGATAGCGACGCAGCAGAGGTGTGTGCTGTACGTCTTCCATACTGAGCGCCGCCGTCGTCGCCGCCTCTGCTGCACCGCGATGCCGCGGCGGGGATGACATGGGCCCGTTTGTGCTGCCGCTGCGCTCATTCTCCTCCACTGGCTGCGTGGCGGCCGCGGTGATGCACAGCAATTCATCCCACCGGCGATAGAGGTACACCTTGACCGGCTGCAGCGCAGTCGACACCCGCGCAACTCCACGACGTCCCACCAGCGGGAACAGCGCCAAGGCTACACCAAAGCGGCGAGAAGTGACGGCCACCTGCAGGGCGGGTTCTCCGTGGTCGTTCACCATCACCGCACTGAGCTGCACGGCGCTCAGGAGGGCACAGCTCAAGGACTCGGCCGTATTGTCACCCTTCCAGGTGTTCATTTCTGCTGCAGCGTGTGGGACGAGACGCAGGTACTGCCGGCCGTCCCCGCGCGTCTCGGAGGCGCGATCCGCAGCCCCACCCGTGAAGAGGCGACCACCTAGCACCCGCCCGTTCCGCGCACGGCTGGCGAAGTTGTAGGCCTCGTCGATCACCTCAGGGTCGAAGCCGGCCTCCCTGCTGCTGCCCGTTTCCACCGTGGCCAGCACCAGGACTTTGCGATCGGCATAATATAGAAAGAGACGCGCGACAACAGCAGCGTCGACGTCGGTGAGAACGTCGTCGAGCGAGGTGTACGGGGCTGGGAGGGCCGCCGCAGAAGCATCAATGCAGCCGCCCTTGGTCAGCACGCTGTTCAGCGCAAAGACCTGCGACGGGTTGGAGACGAGGAGGTCGTCCATCTGCACCAGCTCTGGTGGCCGCCACAGCAGCTGCTGCGACTCCGCCGCGACGTAGAAAGACTGCATCGTTAGCTGCAACGACTGCGGCGGCGGCAGCGGGGAGCCCATCGTCGCAGACGCAGAAGGGGACGCGCGGTGAGGGAACACCGGTGCCCACAAGCCCCACACGCACGGCACCACGCCATCGTTGCTCAGCTGGAACGCGCAGCTCAGCAGCTGCTTCGTCATTTTCGCCGCGTGGGGAAGCTCAAAGTCAAACTGTGGAACAGGTAAGCTTTGCACTTGCGCGTGGTGCACAGCCTGCTGAAGTGTGCGCTTCAACTCGGCCGGCGGGGTCCAAGAGGGTGTGAAGGCATCGCCGCCGCCAGCCCTCGCGGTGTCGTACAGGCGGCGCAGTTCACGTCTGTCGGCAGGCAGGCACACCATCGCCACACGGAGCTGCGCGTCACTCCCACCGCCGCCGTCCGGCACGATGCCGTCCACGTACTGCAGACCGGCGACGATGAAGGGGTAGTCGGCGTAGGCGCTCTCGGCACGACTGCCCACAAAGTAGAAGCCGTGCTCGAGCCGGCACAGCGCGGCTGCCGCAGCGTCGCAGAGCACCCGTGCGATGTTCACATTCACACTTTCCTGCGTCACACGCGGTGCCGCAGTAGCCGAGGAGTCGGGCGAGGAAGCCGCACCTGCCGCGGCAGTTGGCAGCGGTGTGAGACACAATCGAATGGAGATGCAGCGACTGCTGACCGCTTCTGTGTCAGCGAGGAGAGACAGGTGGAAGACATCGTCGCGCTGCGCGCCGTCGACCTGTTCTGGATCCACAAGGGCCGCATCTGCATAGTCGTCGTTCTCGTTCGGTGGGATGGGCAGCGGCCGCGCGAGGCCGGTCAGCCGCGAGAACACCAGCGTTTGCGGATCTTCGCTGTGGTAGGCTGGCAGACGGGGCGCAAACACCCCGCTGAGCACTGATCCTCTGCCCCACAGCGGCAAGACAGGCGGGCACGAGACGCAGGGCAGCCCGCCCGCCGTCGTCGGCGGAATAAGCCACCAATTACCCAACTGCGCGTTGTTGCTCTTGGTGCTCTGCGTGGCGTCGTTACGCGTGTCGACCAACGTGCGCGACACCATCGTGCGGGGTGGGAGCAGGCGGCGACTCCGCACCGACGGCACCGCCGTGCTCGCCGCAATGAAGTCGTTGCACGACAGCTCCAACAAAGTGCGGTCACTCTGAAGGAGAAAGACGGTGTCTGGCGAGGCCAGCCAGGTCCACGCGTGCACAAAGTACACGTGGCTGTGTGGTGATGTAGTGGTGGGACTTGATGCAGCACCAGGGGGGACGCCCATCTCGGGCGCCGTGTAAAAGACGCGGTCCACCGCAACGGTCCCGGCCGGCCCGGCAGCCTCGCCGACAAACGCCGGGCGGGTGCACACCAGCCGCAGCCGCGTCGAGGACAGCAGGAGGATCTGCACGTTGCGGCAGCTCCACCTCGACCACCGAGACGATCCAGAAGAAGCAGAAGCTGAATGGTCGGAGCTGCGCACCAGCACGGCGGCAGATGGCACAAACTGCGCGTCGAGCAGCGGCGCCGGCGGCGTAGCAGAGGCAGATGCCAGCGCGGGGCTTTTTGAGGAGGTGGCGGAGGACAATGGGGAGTTGAAGAACACCAACTGCGCCGCTTTCGGGGCGACGTCGACCGCGTCGCCGTCCACGGCGAAGACCTGCACCTCGGCGCGGTTAATCAACAGCAGCAGAAGAGGGGCGAAGGGATGCACGCGAATGCTTAAGCTATTGCGCACCGTCGCGGTTGCCATCGATGAGCGCGAAGGGTCTCGAAGCTTCCGCTTATCCTGTGATACCGCTTTGATCACGTAGGCACCACCGCCGGCGATCAAGCCTTTCGTCGTGGCCGCGGCAAAGGGCTTGGTGTACCCGACATGCAGGACGTAAACGAGGGGCTCGCTGCAGTGGTCTAGTGCGTTGCGCTCGGGTCCGCGACCGCCATCAGCGACGCCGTTGCCCAGCGCGGCAGACACCGCCTGCACGGCGCTGCGGCGTGCCACTGTCAAGAAGAGCAGTGCACCGTACGTCTCCACCTGCGTGACGATAAACTGCGCGTGTAGCGGTGAGGCGGTGCTGATCGCCGATGATGGCGCTCCGCCCCTTCCACCGTTCCCCGCCGCGCTTCTGTTATTATTATTCTTCTTCACATTGTTGTTGTTGTGCGCAGCCGTCGAGGCACCCCAGCGCACCAACACCACTTCCGATTTGACGTCGGCCACAAAGATATCGTTGGCGCTCGTGACCACGTAGAGAAGACGCCGAGCCAACGATGACGAAGACGCTGCCGCCAGCCCGGGCTGGAGCGGCTGGACCACCTCCCGCATAAGGTCCTCCTCCCTCCCCCGCAGGAACCCGCAGTGCACGATGGCGCAGCCACCTGCGGCCGCAGCGGAGGAGCTGAGGGAAGCAAAGGAGAAGACCTTCAACGGGTTGTCGGGTGGCGAGATGGCGACGGCGGCCGCGTGCGCACCACCACCAGCGTTGGCAGGGACACCCATCGCCTGGTTAAGCCGGAGCTGACCGTGTCGCGCGGCATCCATCTCCACCAACCAGGAGAGGGCATCCGTGCCGGCAGTGTAGAGGCACAGCTCACCCGAGCTCAAGCCGACAACCTGGAAAGGCTCAACGGGATGCAGATCAACGCTGGTGACGTAAGCGGAGGCGACGGGGGCGGCACGCGAGGGTACTTGGGTGAAGGGCGACGCGCTGGGCGACCCTGCGACGCGTGTGTTCAAAGGGTTGGCGCTTTCCATTGTTCAGGAGAGAGTCGTGAGAGGGTGGCGTCTACGTGTAAAACCCGGAAAAGAAGGTTTTCGCTGTGTTTTGTTTCGCGCCTTTACCGCGAGGAGTCGGACAAGGCGTTCACCCCGGGGAAGCAACTTGCTTGTCCCCAACGACCCCAGCCTCCGTGCGGTCCGCTCAGCCGTTTAGTGAAGAAAGCAGCAAGGAAGAATAGAGGGAAAGCGAAACAACGAATTAGCGCGATACACCACAAGCAAAACAAATAGGCAGCTGTTGGTCTTGAGAGCCTTTAAAGAAGAAGAAGAAGAAATCTACAGCGAAGGGGGAGCGATAGGTGAGGACGACTAATAGAGCACGTACGCACGCAGTGCGTCAGTGGCGAGGGAGAAGGGGGGGGGGGGAGGAGCGACGGAGGAGAAGCAGAAAGATGACGGTGGTGCGTCGTTGCGCCTCCGCCATTTGAGCTGGGCAGTACAGACCGCATGAAAACAACAGCAAAGAGAAGATGCGCAGAAGAACGAAAGTAGTGGGAGAGAGAAGTGAAGTTCACGGCACAGAGAGGGATGTCTTTCTAATCGACAGTCTTTTCGCAGCTAGCTCCTCTGCTACGCAACGGCAGCCACAGCTACGAGGCTAAGGCGTTAAAGGTGGCTTCCCCGGGCGGTGGAGACGTTCCGGGCAATCAACTTCCCGCTGTGAAAAGTGTTGAGGCGGAGCACTAGTATGTGCTGATTGTCTTGTCGACCTGCCGTGCCTTTTCGTGTCGTGCGCGGGCACACACGTGTCTTTTTCTGATATGTACGGTAACATAGAAACAACTCCCACAGCGAAAAATACCAACAGACGGAACACGCATACACACTACACACACACCTTTATAAATAAATAAATATATATATATATATATATATGAGCGCATTTTACTGTTACACCTGCCTTTTCATTTAAGGACTAGGGAGGATGGAGGAGAAGCTGAGGTCTTGTGTTAACGAGGTCTGGTTCTGATACCGCTCCGCGGCAGTCCCGCGATGCCCTCCACCCCGGTGGCGACGCGAGGACGACGACAAACCTTGTGCGAGCGCCTCTCGCGCCATCTCCTTCTCCGCCTCCGACTGCAGTAGCGCCTTCTCCAGCTTCTCCACCGCGCTGATCATTTGCTTGTTATCGGCCAGGAACTGATCCCGCTGCGTCCTGCACGCCGCAAGAGACGTCTGCACTTCGCTCAACGCAGATGTCGTACCGTGCAGGTCCGACAAGGTCTGTTGCTGCTGCTGCAGAAGTTCGTCATGCTTTGCTGCCTCCGCCTGCAGCTGCGCCTCCAGCAACGCAAACGCTGCCTTCCCATCTTGACTCTCCGTCTGCATCTCCGCCAGCTGCGCGTCCATCTCACGGACCCGTGCCGTCGCGTCATCCCGCTGGCGCTCCGTCTCCGCCGCCCTCGCGAGCGCCGCCTCCAGCTGCCCCTGCAGCCTCCGCCGTTCTTCTTCGCCGGTCGCCACACTCCGGCGCAGCACATCCTGGCGCGCCTGCATCTCAGCCAGTTGATCCGCAAAAGTTGCGCACGCCGTCAGCCCGTACTTGCGAGCGCACAGGCTGATTGGGTCCGCGCTCATCAGCTCCACTTGCCGCCGCAGCTCGTTCTCGCGCTGCTTCCACGCCGCCTCGGCGTCTCGCATGACCGCCAGGTCCTTCGCCTGTGCCTCCATGCGGGCGGTCAGGTAGCGCACCCGGTGCCGCAGTGCCGCGACGGACGCCCCCTCCACACTGAAGAGAGCGTCCATGTTGGCGAGCGTTGGTGAGTTGACGACGGTGGGACTCGTCGCTGTGCTCGCAGTGCTGTCGTGGTGGTAATGGTGATGCTGCTCATCGTCGTCTTGCAGCTCTGCCAAACGGGCGACAGCGTCCTGCAGACGCACCTCCGCGGCCTGGCGGTCTTGCACGGCCTCTCGCACGCGCAGCTCGCGCTGCCGCAGCTCGTCCTGCGTGTGGGCCAGATCCTGCTTTACCTCAGCCAGCTCCACCTGCAGGCGGGTCGTGGTGTGCGAGAGGCGCTGCACCAGCTGCGCGTTGGCCTCGACCACGCTGTCACCGGGGTAGAGCCTATGAAGCAGCGCCTGCACATCCTCGCGCATAAGAATCTGACGCTTCAACTCCTCGACCACCTCCTCGCGCTGACGGATCGTCTGTGCCTTCTCCTGCAGCTCTCGGCGCAGCAGCGCGATGACGTTTTCAAGACTGGCGGCGTGCTGCTTCACGTCAGAAAGTTGCGCGTGTAGTTCGCGGTAGCGGCCCTCCTCGGTGGCCAGGCGCTGCTCCCGGCGGTGGGCGACCTCCTCCAGCTGACCACGCTGAGTCTGGGCCTGCAGCTGTTGTGCTTCCAGCTGCGCCTGCAGCACGGCAATCTTCTCCTGAAGTGCGTCGTTTTTTGTCAAGGCAACGCTGAGCTGCGTGTCTCGGTCTTCCAACTCGCTCGTGACTCTCTTTAAATCTGTAGCGACAGAGTCATAGCTGTCTCGCGGGATCATCTCGTGGACTTGTTTCTCTAGCGTCTCTTTCGCCGCTTCCGCCTCGTCACGCGCCGTCTCCAACACCCACATCCGCTCCAGCATCGTCGTGTGCTTCAGCTTCTCCGCATCCAGCTCCTCCTGCACGGCGCGGTGGGTCGCCTGACTGAAGGCTAGCTGCTGCTGCAGTTCACGGAAGATGCCCAGCGACGCGGCCTCATCGCCGTTCGCAGCGTCCTCGTCACTCTCCCCCTCGCTCTGCGAGGTGCTCGTGCGGTCGGTGTGGGCATCGAGGTCGTCGTTCTCCGCCCGGGTGCGGCTGCGGTGCCGGTGGCGCCGTCGGGGCTGCGGACTGGCGGGCACGGTCGGGGAGGGAAGAGACATGGGCAGCAGCGGCGGAGTGCGGTGCACCGGGGAGCCGGGCTGCGGGGAGAGGCGGAAGGTGGCCGCCGCTGCCGCCGCTGCAGTGGCCGCAGTGCTCTGCGTGGTGCTGGGGTGGTTGTCTGCGTCTTGCCCAGCGCGACTCAAACCGCGCGCCGACGCCTCCACCCCCACGTACGCCTGCCGAAGGCGCAGTGCCTTGATGAGGCGCCGCTTGCGCTCCAGCTTCAGCAGCAGCCGGGCCACGCGCTCCTTCTGCTGATTCTGGCGGGCCTCCTGCCGTGCCTGCGCGGCCTGGTAGACGTGCAGCAGCGTGCCGTCCTTCTTCGCCGCCGTCTGCAGCAACGAGCTCAGCTCCTGCAGTAGCGTCACTTGCTCCTCCGCACGGAAGTCGTCACGCTCCGTCGTCGTTGTCATCGCCGTCCCGGCCGACGCGCTCTCCGTCTCTGACCGTGTGCGCTGCGAAGGCGAGGCACGCAGCGAGGACGACACCAACGTCTCCGCACCGCTGTTGCTGATGCGGCTGTGGTGGCTATCTGACGGCGTGAGGGCCCGCTGGGAAGTCTGCAGAGCCCGTACCAGCGTCATTTGCACCTCCGTCCACGTCTCCCTCACCGCCTTCTGCATCTCCTGCTGCTGCCCGGCCGCGTTGAAGGCCACCTCGGCCAACGTCGCGGACTGCCGGACGCAGAGCTGCAGAAGACGGCGCAGACACCCCGCCATCGCCCGCGAAGGGGCAGACGATGCTGCTGCCGCTGCTGCTGTACTTCCCTCTCCACTGCTGGGCGTGCGCGCGTGCATGGCGTTGTCGGCGTCCCGCTGAGCGGCGAGCGCGCGCAGGAGGGCGCTGGAGACGTCCGTGTCGACGGCGGTCAGACGCACCTCGTGTCGGCGCACCAACGCGTCCACCATGCTGGTCACCGCCGCACTGGCCGACTCCAGGAACCACGGCTCGACCGCTGCTGCCGCGTCTGTTTCTTCTACGGCTTCTTCCGTCTCGGGCGAAGTCCCGGAAGAAGCGGACGAGGCCCCGGTGCCGGCGCCGCGCTCGCTCTGCACAAGCCCGACCGAGCCGCGACCTTGCGCGTGCCCTGCGACGTTACTTTCGTTCCGCTTCGTGGCGTCAGCATCGGACATCCACTCGCCTTCATCGCCGCGATCACGCTTGCGGGAGGGCGTGACCGAAGAGCGTCGTGGAGGAGCAGCGGCGGTCTCTGAGTGCCGCAACAACGTTGCCACGGGCGCCGCCAGTGAAGCGGGAGGCTCTTGATTGCTTGCGAAACCGTGGACGGTGCTGCGCGCTCTCCCTTTCTCGTGCTCCGCTTGCTGATGCTGCTGCTGTCGCGCTGCAGCTTCTGCGCGTTGCGTTGCGTCGTACAGCTGCTGCACGAGCTCCTGGTTGCGCACAACAAGCTCAGAGACGGAGTTCACGCTAAATCGGTCCAACGACTCGTCCTTGTCCAGCGTGTCCAGCAGGCAAAGCAGCTGCGGGTCCGCGTTCACGTCGTCCTCGCTGGCAACAATGGAGGACGAGGCGGAGGTGGAAGGCTCGCTGCCCTGGCCCTCGCCGCCCTGCAGCACAGAGAGCTGTTCACCCCCCATGCGTCGGGTGACGGTGCCGTTAAGCGGGTCCAGCGTCGTGTACGCAGACGGTCGCCCCAGTGCCGATCCACTGAGCTGATCGCTGGCGGGCAGGTAGGGCTTGCACTCGAGGTCCACTTCAAGAGTGGCGCTGCCCAGCTGACGCAACGAGGTCTGCCGTGTGCGACGTGATGCGTGACGGTGATGGCCAGAGCTTGCAGACGCTGCGGAGAGCAGCGTGGAGGGGACGGTGACGTGCGAGGCGCTGTAGGTGCTGAGTCGCTGCTGCACCCCTTCCTCCACTTCGGTCGGGGCCCGCATGAAAGTTACGTCGGCGGAGGCGCCCGGCATGTACAGAAGCTGCCGGATGTCCGACGTGGACGGGCGGCCGTAGAGGACAGCCGTGTTGAGCGACTTGCCCACGCCAGCCGCGTGCGCCGATTGTTGGAGGGAGCTGGAGGTGGTGTCGGGGGAGCGGATGGCGCTCTTTGAAGTGCTGATCACGGGCCACCTGGACGCTAACCAGTTGCTGCGCCGTGATGAGGTGCTCGGGAGAGACCTCAGCAGATTGGACGGTACCAAAGGGCGGTCTTGAGCGTTGCTGCCGTTGCTCGAGGCGGTCGGCAGCGAGGACGTGCCTTGCTGCTGCTGCTGCTGCTGCTTGTGTGCAATACTCTCTTTCAGATGCCGGTAGGCCCGTGTGGTGTTCTCCACCTTCACCAACAGCGAAGCGACCTGCTGCGAGAGAACGCTGTTGCGGTACGTCAACGACTGCGCATCCGTCCGCAGGACGTCGCCTTCTTCCTTGAGAGCCGCCGCGTAGGCGACGCTAGCGTCGCGCTCCGCCTCCAATTTCTTCAACTCGGCTTCCGCCTTTGTGAGCTGCTCTTGTAAGTGACGGCTGTTCGCGGCAATGAGGACCTGCTCTTCCATCTCCCGCATCGCGACGTCCCACACAGGACCTTTGCGCACCGCTGCTGCCTCATCTCTTGCCTCCCTTTCATTCGCGCTGGGTTGTGGAGCTGCTGCATTCGCTGCGGCGTCTTCCATGGTGGCACGCGACGGCTGTGTGAGCTCTAACCTTTCCACCAACGCCGCGAGCACATCTGCCTCTTCGGACTGCTTCGCAAGCTGCAGCCGCAGCAACTCGCATTGGTGTTCCGCCTCTGCCCGGGCCTGGACCACGGCTCGGTGTGTGTCGAGATCCACCATGGAAGTCCGCAGCTGCGCCACCTCGCGCCGCAGCACCGCATTCTCTTGTGTGGCGGCGAGCAGGCTGGTGTGAAGGGCGGCCATGTTCTGGCGCCACTCCTCGCGCTCACGCTGCAGCACGTTGATGGTGCTGCGCGTGCCGAGGTAGGCGGCAATGAGCTCCTCTACCGACACAGGAAGCTCCTCGGATGCCTCGTCTTCCTCCCCCAGAACGGAATGGCTGCTACGAATGCTAGCGTCACGATGCGCTTGGAGGGAGGTGTTACTGCTGTCTTCTTCGTTTCCGCGCGCCAGCGAAGCGTCATCGCTGTCGTGCTGCTGCTGACGCTCTTCGCCTCCTCCTTCCCTCACCGTACGCTGCGCATCGAACGAAGGCGGCGCAACCAATGCGGACGACGACACCGCCGCTGTTCGTTGCGCACGGAGGGCCGCTCGCAGATCCACGCGCAGCACCCGCTGCACCTCCTTCCCAATCGACTCCGCCAACTCACTCTCCATGCATTGCATGCGCGCCGCTTGACTGGTCAGCTGTGCGTCCAACGCCTCGTTGTGCGCGACGAGGGCCCCGACGCGGGCGCCGTGCTGACGGATTGTGCTGCACAGCGTTGTCTCGACCGCGGCGGCGGCGTCGTCGATGAGCTGCTCCACCAGCTTCGCGTGGAGGGACGTGCTGAAGCGGTTCAGCGCGGCTGCCGCCCGCTCCTCCGATAAGCGGAGACTCTGTGCCTCCGCCTCTTCAGACAGGACACTCTCTGCTGCTCCTGCTACGCCAACTATGAGGCGCGGCTGCTGGTGTGCTGGTGACGCTAGTCGTTCTTCGTCATCGTGGACATCGTCCGGCGGCTCGGAGGCGGAGTCTACGACGGTGGGGCTGTCGGGCGTCTCAACGCTCTCCCCGGCCGTCGGTGAGCCCGCAATCGGGAACGATGCCGAGGAAGGAGACGAGGAAAGCGTCGACCACGGAGAGGCGGAGGCGGTCGAGGTGGTCGACGACGGCGGCGGCGGCAGCGACTCCGGCATCGCCAGCGGGGCGTCCACCGGAGCCAGGGCTTCGCATATGTCGATCATCGCGTCGTCGTGCTCATGCCCGCCGTGGTCGGGCGTTTCTACTCCCTCTCCTTCTTCTTCTCCTTCTTTGTCTGGCAGCGGTGCCGACACCTCGCTGTGAACGGGAGAGAGGTCGAGGGGGGTGGGGCTATCCACCATTTCGTTTTCTGCGTTGGCTGCGGCGGTGCCGACGCCGGAGGAGACCGCAGAGTCAGGAGAGGACGGCGCAGGTGGCAGGGCGGCGATGTCATCCTCGGTTAGAATGGGCAGCGGTAGCGGCGGCGGTGCTGCTGCCGGGGGCTCCCCCTGCGAGTGCGGCGGAGGCGTGCCGGACATGCTTCAAAACCTCCCAAATCAAAAGAAAAGAAGAGGACGAAAAGTTTGTGCAGCTGCAAGCGCTTCTCTTCTCTTCTCTTTCAGAGAGGGGGAGTGGGGATATACAAGATCTGTATGAACGGGAATGATACAACAAAAAAAAGGACGTGTGTGATGCTCGTTCGCTGCGTCTAGCACAAAATCGGATTCGTGGTAGTGTAATGATTCCACGTTAATGCGTATCTTATTATCCTTCTCTTCTCTGTGTGTGTCACTACCCACCTAGTGTTTTCTCTTTTCTTTCTTGAAGCGGCTACCAAGTAGAACAGACGCAAGAAACCGCAATAACGACAGGTAAACGACCACAATGATGGCAAAAAGAGAAAAACAAATATGCCTTACTTCTATGTATACTCCTGCGTCGAACGGCTGCTGCGGTAGAGTCACCAATGCTGCTTCTCTGCCGAGTGATCCTTTCTCTGCACAGGAGCAGCCCCAAACGTGCCACAGGAGGTGGCCAAGAAGCACGACAGGGGCCGAGGGATGTTGGAGAGAAAGTTAAATGCAAGGGTGATCAGGAGAAAAGGTGAGGCGTGTAGAAAGGTCGTACTTCGGTGAAAAAAGGAAAAGAAAAGCACCAATGGCTTTCTTTTCAGCTTTTTTTTCTTCGCACTTCCGTCTATTTTCTTTCTCTTTCTTTTTCATATGCGGACGTTTGCTCGTCGCTGACATCCACCGCCATCAGCAGCAACAACAAGAGAGAAAGAGAGGGGCATTCTATATATATGCTTTTGCTGACGTTTCTTACCTGTTATGAAAGAACACCTCCATTAAAGCCACATGTCGTGATGACGCGCGCCACACGCGTACGCACATGCCCAACGCTTTGACATCAAACAACACCCGCATCACCAGCAATTTACCTTCCAACGGTCGCACCACAAGCACTCCAATGACGTTCCATCAACAGAAAGAAAAAAAAAAGAACATAAGTGAGAAAATTATATATAATGATAGTTTCGACAGCACTCTGCCATTATTGACATTAATTGTTTCCTTTATATACCACGTAAACACGTCCGCGTATTTAAGGGACGCGTTCCCACCCGAAAGGCAAGGGAGCGACAAGCACGGCACCACACAAACCAACAAAAACAGGGCCGACAGACCATTTCCGCCCCGTCACGCCCAACCACTGCAGAACTACAAGTATGGTCATCCCCCCCAAAAAAAAACACCACCGTGCCGGCACTTCTCGCGCACACGCCACGTCCCACACCGTCCGTGGACCCATGGTCCAGATCATGAGACCGACTTACCATTTTTGGTTTTCTTCCAACGTGTTCTCTTCACCTTCTTTCCTACTGCCCCAGCGTGTACAGGAAGCTGTAATGCTGCATGGACAGGTAGTGGATGACGTAGAAGGACACGCACGGCCCGAGGAGGGGGATGCGGTTGACGAAGCCCTTCACAAAGTGGTGATAGATGAGCTGCTTCAGCACCGCCGAGAAGAAGGGGTCACGCAAGAACCCGAAGAAGGTGTTGCGCAGCGCCTGCTGCACGCGCATGCGGTCACGCGACACGACCGGCAGGTCCTGCACAGGGCCGATCGCGTTCGGACCGGCGGCGGTGGAGTCCACCACACCGCCTGCCGCCGCCGCCGCCTCTGCGTCCTCGTTGCTGTCTGCCACGCTGAGCTGCCCCCCTGCCGCGGCCACCGCCGCCTCGGCACCTTCGCTCTCCGCGCTGTCGTTTATGTACACCACCGGCACCCGCTTCTGTCGTACCACGCGGGCGAGGAAGGCGACGAGCAGGTCGCAGCCCGCCACGGCGCCCCAGCCGCGCCAGCTGCCCATCAAATTCTGTGTCGGGGCAACGGACATGGCCTTGTGCAGGGCGGCCAGGGGATCGGGGAGGGACGGTGGCGCAGGGGCCGGCTTCCCGGCCTCGACCGCCGCCTTCGCTGCCTTGGCCGCCTCGGTCGCCTCCTTCGCAGCGGCGGTCTGCTCCGCGCGCGTCATCACCGGTGGCAGCGTTGCGATAGAGTTCGCCTCCTCCTCCGGCAGCTGCAGGAAAGTGTGGCGCGCCACGGCGACCAGCACGAGCGGGCGGAGCAGCAGGTAGAGGTCGAGGAGCATGCCCAGCACATCCACCCAGGTAAAGGGGACCGACTCGCCCTCCTCCACCTCGTCCTCATCCATCGCGTCCTCGTCGCGCGGAAAGGCGAGGTGGCCGTCGTCGCCGCCGTCGTCGTGGGCAACCGGAGCGGCGCCGCCACCACTGCTGAAGACGTGACGGTGCTCGTGGCGGCGGTCGGAGGCGACGCGTGGGATGACGAGGCGGGTATTGTTCGGCCCCACCACCGCCCCACGAAGGCTGCTGCTGCCGTGCTCCAGCCCTGCGAGGACGCCCAGGTCCACGCCGCCATTCACGCCGTTAAAGCCACCGCTGCCGCCGCCGCCCGCTGCGAAGCTCGCCGTGATGGAGGCGCCGTCTTTGGCCCCGCTGCCGCGTACGCGACGACGACGTCCGCCGAGGTTGACGAAGTGGCGCACAGCGCGGCGCAGCGACGCCTTCAGCGATTCCCACAGCCATGGGATCAAAAACATTTGCCGGTGTACGCAGGTCTTCAGGGTGCACTTGATCGCCTCGAGCAGCAGCAGCGCATTCCACGTGTGGCGGTGGCCGGCATACTTGCGGCTGATAAGCTCCATCAGACACTCCACCTCTTGAATGGCTTGCAGGACGAAGGAGAGGATGTCCGTCTTGGTCGTGTGGTGTGAGCCGGTGGCGATGATGGCGGCGTTGGAAAGGGAGTGCACCTTGCACAGCGTGAAGCACGCCTCGGAGTTGATCAGGTTCGTCGGGTCCGACACGAGCAGCGTGAAGGTGCGCGAGATCTGCTCGAGGCTGGTGGCGTTTTCTGGGTTGGCCCGCACCCACTGAAAGTACCAGCGCAGCGGGTCTGCCAGCTTTCCTAACGGAATACCTGCCTCCGATCTGCCGCGACCTAGCGGCAACGTGGCCGCAGGTGGGGACGAGGTGGTGGTGGTGGTGGCATTTTCGGTCGACATCTTGTGTGGCGAGATGTGGAATGGAACAGGAAGAGAAGACGATCACGTGCGAGCAGCCGCGGCGATTTCGCTGGGTGTAGGTGCGTGTGTAGGCAGCAAGAGGTCTGCGCTCGCGACGTAAACTGTCGATGGAACCAATAAAGCGTCCAGCGTGGATGAAAAAAGATAGAAAAGAGAACGTTTAGAAAGGCTCAAGCTCAGGTTGGATTAGTTTTGATCTCTGCTCTGCAGGGTATAGGAAGAGACAGTAGCTGTTTACCGGTGTGGTTATGTATGTGTGTGCGTGCTGGTCTGAAATGTAATTGACGCGCCGTCTAGTCACCTATAGAACACACACACACAGTCGAACACGAGAAAGGTAGTTTGTATGATTTGCGACGACAGGTGAGAAAAGAAGAGCAGACAAGTTAAAGAAAGCGATGATACGTGGACGCAACGGAGCACAGCGCTTTCAAGGGCTGATCAGCAGAGACACGATGGAGGCGTCCACGCACACACACCAAAGAATACAGTGATATCCTCCATGCATTCTAAGCTTGAGTCAAGCAGATCAGTTAGCGTTTTCATCGGCAACGTATGCGTCTATTTTGGCACAGGTGCAGGCCCTCGTACATGATCACAGAAGCAGTACAGTAAACAACAAACCAAAGCAAAGCACCGCAGGAAAACCTTCAACCTGTGGGCTGCAGGTTCTCGTCGCCGCTCCCTCGATGCACCACACCGACAACATCTACTTCACCGCTGGTCGCTGCTGCTGCTGCTGGTGGTGGTGGAACGTACCCCGTGCGCCAGATCGTGTGCAGCGAGCCGACCGTCATGCCGATCCCCACCGCGGTCGTCATCACGAGTGCCGCGAGCAGCAGCCCGTACTCACGCGGCAGAAAGAGGACCTGGGTGAAGTGCGACTCATCCACAAACGGCATGACACCAATCCAAAGGACGTAGTAGATGAAGAAGATCGTGTTGCCCGCCAGCAACAACGATCCCAAGGCACGATCTGTCATCATTTCTAAGACTAGAGAGAACACTTTTCCTATTAGATGAAAAACGTAGGTCAGTCGTCCCACGCAAACAACATCACAAAACACGATGTGTGTGTGTGTGTGTGTGTGAAGGCAATCCGAAGCCCGTGAAAGGGATGGACGAGGAGGGAGAGAATTCTCAGAAAAAAAAAGCGAGAGGGGACGGGGGGGGG